AAACTCTCGAGGCACTCTGGATTAATTCCAGAAATCCGAAAATGAGCCGCAGGGAAGAATGCCTCATTATCACGCGTGATGTAGGGCAGTATATAAGACTGCTATTCTGATGAGTGGGGTACATTATACTTCCATGTGATTTCTGTGCGGTTGGTCTCTACGTGACATACTTAGTGGAGACCTCATAGAAAGCGGTGAGTGTGCAAAGCTGTGTTCAATGTGATTGAAATCTTGGTTTAGAGTTTCTTTGTTTGGTTATGGAGGCGTCTGGCCAAGTAGATTGCTGTCAACTTGACCTTTCCAGGCTCTGAGGAAGGCGAAATCCGCCGAAACGTCAGCTCATTTGTGAATAAAGAATAATAACACCTCGCGTTTGCTCAACAAAAATACGAAGAATCAAAATGTTTTATTGATTGAGAAATCATCACCAGTTCTGACGAGAGTCGGGTTCACTATTTCACTTCTTATTACGACACCCAAGATCTCACCTGAAGTTATCGGAATCACACGTCGTTTTAAGGTACTTTCTTTGAATCTCTTTCACACGTTAGTTAGTAGCTCAACTGGTATGCAATATAGTTGATATACGTTGTATATCATTCTAGTAACGAGTTGGAGACGGTGCTTGACAAGATTTCGATCAGATTTTTACTGAACGGTCGTGGGGTGTTGAATTTCTTCATTAAGTGCGTCTTTGGTTAGAACTACGTTTGTGTTCGCAGTTCTATACTTCCAGGAGAAGGAGTGAAAATCAGGATTTTACAACTCATTTAAAGAAATCGTACACATGTTCAAAGTGAGTTCCCATATTTATGGGTTTAATTATTAAGCTAAATCCTTCCATAGTTCCTAATCTGTTCCTTAAATATATGTGGCCCTAAAAGAGTGGCGTTGGGTTAGGCAAGATGTGAATCCGGTCACTTAGGCTCATTCAGTCAATCAAATTGAATCTGTCAAAAAATTAGTGACGATACTGTTTGTAAAGCACACGGATATGTTTTGAAGTGAAAAAAACGAATAACACTTTATTTTAAGCGTACAAAAGCATTCTCTTTCAATGGATCTTCTCGAGTTCCATGTACTGTCAACGTGATCATCTTCAGAAAACCTACGCCGTCCAAATCTCTGTGCTTCTATAAGAAAAAACAGCTCAAAATTGTAGAAAGAAATGGTCAACTTTCATCTACTGTCTATTTCCTTTTCTACGATAGAGTAGTATGCGAAATACAACCACAGAAATGCTAAGATATGAGCAAAACTCGGAGCCTTAGTTAGGGTTCGAACCAGTGGTTGCCTTTACCAGGGACTCATGTGCTGTCTCTCGCACCAACCGAGGTCCTAGATTTACCTCTCTCTCAGTCATCTCTTTAATCCTACTTAATCGATAGAAAACAGTCCTCACACTGACCGCTGTGCGTGCTTCGATTTTCCAAATACCACGTGGATTCTCAGACCATTGTGCTACACTAACGAACGGCCACTCTAGAAGACCATCAGGCGAGTCGTCATTTCGTCTTGTGTGCAATAATTCGACAGCTGTTCCTTAAATATCGTGGGAATCAAAAAAGCCACATAGCTCTCTTAATTAACTATCAGTTCTAGATAGTTCTAGATATCAAGATAGTTAGTCAACACCACGTATTTCTTTAACGTCACCTGATAAGTTCCCAATTGATCGAAGAAGTCTAAAATGTACTAGAGTGTCAGCCTCACGAACTTCATGTGCTTAGTTTGGATTATTTTTATGAGTTGAAACAGCTTTGCTTAATGTCTCGAAATTGGCGTCATTAAAAGAGCAGGATGCAGTAAGCTGTTTCCTTGCAGTCAGATGCTGGTAACTTGTCGTTCTGCTGTTCAGCCCTCCTAGTACTTCCGTTAAAACCTTTTAATCCGCCATGAGCAATCATTACCCATTACCTGGATTAAACCACTCCACTCGGATATGCGACATCATCTTCAAACTTGGATAATTATACAAACGAGAGTAAAACGAATCCAAACTGAGCACACAAGGTTCGTGAGTTTGCCACGCCAGTACATTTTATACTTCCTCGATTAATGGGGGAGTTAATCAATAGTTATGAACAAGTTCTCCCTATTGGTCTGGGAGAAAAGACCTAATTGATCAATGAAAGTGCATCTCACAAAAATTTCTGAAAATTCGTTCAATTTTTAGAAGTTTTCGTTAAGCTCAAATCTCTATGGATTTTCTTTATATTGCATGTATTCATTGAAAATGAGTTTAGATTTGATCTTGCTTAGGCTGCTTATCCTCACAAAAGCTGTGAACGTCAGCACATCTAGAAAATGAGTAATGTTTCAGTGGTTAGGTAAGTTTTTATTTGCTGGCATTCCTAAATAGCCTTGCTAGATTTTTTTATGTCGTCAGCATATGCAGTCGGATATGTTCGTTTTGGATTACAGGCCAAATTCCGATCCTACCTCTAGCCTTCTCCTAAGATAATGTCAATCACCAGCAAAGATTTGTTCGTGGTTCAACTTAGACAAATATCGAACACATTTTCAGGTAAAAAACCCTCCCAAGGAAACGGCCTATTATTGTAACACCGAGTTTGACGGACACCGGATAACACCCGCTTTCTATGACGAGACGGCAAACCATCAAAGGATAGTGCAACGAATATTGTTATGCTGCAACACGATTACCAAAGCCTCGGTATTTTCCGTGTTTCTTAAGGAAATTTAAGCGTTTCTGCAAAATTTTAACATTCCACAAGCATCTGAGAAGTGGAGCTTACTAGAACGTTAGGTCACTTTTCTTTAACTATTTTGTATTTGTTGTGTCCATAAACAAACCAAATGGACTGCTAAGTAAAAGCGAAATGAGTCCTCGTCGTGGATGTGCCAAAGAAACGTCCAGTTGCAGCCGTTCTATCCAATTCACCTCTCCAGACGTACCGCTGCAGCCGTTAAATGGTAAATCGACGAGTAGTGGAGCGGAAGCAGTAAAGGTCCTGCAAGGAACGTCTGCACATGGATTACATACTTGTGGAATGAAATTCAGTATGTCTCAAAAGCACATAATTTCAGCATAAAATTCTCGAGAAAGCGAAAAGAATTGCACAAAAGCACAACAAGATGCAAGAGTGGAAGAAGTAGTTTCAAAACATCGCAGTAAACATAATGAAACTTTATTATAATTATGAGGAAGAGGTAAATAAGCCAAAAAATAAATTTAAAAAATTTATTCATAAAATAAAATAAGGTAAAATAGGGCCTGACATCTACAAGTCTTCCCGCAAGTATAAAAAAATTTTGAAAACTTAGTATTCCTGATCGTTCCAACGGCTTACCGCCTCATCTTGGATGAGAGATATTCCTGGATGACGGGCTGCGACGTACGGCGGGAAGATTCATTTTCCTACAGGGTCTCGCAAACTGAGAAGGAGTCCGGCGCTTCTATAAGGCAGTCCAGCTAAGAGTAAACCAATACCAAGACCCGCCACTATCTTGGTACCACATCAGTCGGATGGTGGCAAATCTCCTTGATTTACATGGGCTGTGACGACCTGTGGTGGTGGCGACCTTGAGCAGACTTTGGCCAGGTTGTCTTCTGGAGTCCAGGAAACCGCCTAAAAACTAAACCAGCGAATCTCCGGAGAATGCAAATTATGCTGCTGCCCGCACAACCAGTGAAGACGGGCTATCTAAGTATCCAAGTAAGTATTCCTGATGTAATAGGTTCGCGTACGTGCACAGATTAATACATCGGTGAACAACTGCAAGGCATTGTACAAGCCGCGTGACCAATTAGGATCGTTGAGCATTCCACCATTGTAATCCTCGCACTCATTGCTGTAGCTCACATCATTACCATACAATCGTCTTCTGTTAGTAACCTAAGCAATGCTACTTCACATCACCACTCATTTAACCAATCATATCTTCTTCTTTATCCAACAGTTCGCGCAGCTATTAGAGGACAGAGCTACTTTTTTGTTAAGTGTTAAGTAAGTCACGCCCCATAGCAATGCCATTCACGTCCACTTGTTGTATCTGTCATCATGTCAACTAAATATATGACCTTGTAAGAGCATCGGAAGTCTACGACACTCTCCTATTCCTTCTCGTCTTATGGTTATTAGAGTTTTATACTTTCACAAGTTTACATGTGCCTTCTAATGTGCCAATCTCTTCTACCGGCGCTGTTGTATTCACCGCCACACATACGTCACATTACTCCCCCAACTTGCGGTTAAGTTGCTCTCTCATCTCTAGGTAACCTCTTATGCATCACTTTGCTCTCAAAACTATCACAAGGCTACTGCAGCGGCCTCCGTGTGTTGTGTAACATATCTCCTTAAGTATGCCACACCTGCCTCATCACGCAACTGTGTATTGTACACATACTTATCAACTCCATTTGTGTTTGTTGTGTTATTGTATTGCTTATAAAGGCTTGATTACCCGAGTATGAGATGCACTGCGGCATAAATGATTATGCGAGTAAAAGTGTCGCGGCGTGACCAACTAGGATCGTTGAGCATTCCACCTACAGTTGGTGGACAGAGGACAAATCTGACCAGATACTATTTTATTCCACTGGCGAACCGATACACAGGCTGGCTATGCTTGGTCAAGGACAACGAACAGCATTACTCGTTTGTTTGGTGTCAGACATTCACCGCTATCTGCTTTTGAACTTTTTCAATCCTCCGCTGAGGTTAGAAACCCTTCCGTCCCTCCTGCGTATTGGTGTCGCATGTGTTTGGAATAGTAAAAACACAGATTAATACATCGGTAAACAACTGCAAGGCATTGTACAAGCCAAATGTGCATTTAATCATCGGATCGTTACGATGTTCGATTTTGTCAGAAGCATGGCACATCTCTCAGGGAATGATCAACGCCGAGAGCTTTATTGTTTATGCTTCATTGTCACAAAGCAGTTATGAGACTATCACTATGCTGGTTGGACAATCTTGAATAGCTTATCGGGTTTTCCTAAAACAGTGATAAAGAACAACCCTTTAAAGACATTCCAACGGTGTGCTTCCGTATCAATTCATTGTTCTGTCATGGATAAGTGTATGAAACGTTTAGCACCGACAAAATTATAGGAATACACCATGCATCGTACTTCATGCAAGGCAGAGGCGATTGAATTCATATTCACCCTGCACAGTGGCTTCTAGGAGGCTCACAAATATATTAAGTCAATGCTTTCTACTTTCCAAAAAAACTATGGTACGAAATGCCCGACTTCTGAATGATGAGAGCTTGTTAAGGTGACGGTGGAATGGAACCAATGACTATGTGAACACCGCAGGCTGTCTCCAACTACTGCACTACGCAATCCTCTCGCAACCACATTGGCATTTTTTCCAGAGCGACCTTTTATTTAACCCAAAAAATCAATGCTTAGTAATTTTACTGTGTTCATGGATTGTTACTAAATCTTTTTCGTATCTTGCGTTTCGGCGCCTTCTCCATCTTCAGAGTTGCGATTATTCTAGTCGATTATCCACAGTTGTACATTCTTCCGATATGGGTCTTCATAATCTCTGTTGATATAAGTATAGGTATAGACTATCTATATAGATAAAATTATGTATATATGGAAGGACTTATCTAATCTTGCTTGGCAGAAACAGAATACTATTACTCTGAATCCACGTAGGCCTAAGATGAAATAAACAGTTGCTTACGTTTGTCTCCAACTGTTTCACTGACTGCCTTACATTAGAATAATGAGTGAAAAGACTAACTGTAAATAAAGATTGAACGAGAACGATGTAGAGACCGTTCGTACGTAGCATAGTTTTCCTGTTCTCAGAAGAAGAGAACTAGCGAAGCACAGACAACAAGATGACCAGCGTATACGAAATGGTGCTGCCTTTTTGCCCTGCACTAATTGCCAGAATATTAAATTTTCTTCTGAATCTGCTCTAGAAATTGGAGTGTAGAATAGAAAAATTGCATAACGAATAGTAGTAGAAGAAAGCATAAAAAAGACTAAAGATTCAGAAAAGAATAGAGCAGAGCAGAAAAAAGAATCAGGAAGGAAGATTGAGGGAATTTGTTAAAATAGCTTTTGAACATATTCTTTACCCTTTATCCTAGTCTTTATCAAGAAAATACTTGAAGAGTGAAACTCGGCCCGTCATTTGGTTAAGCGTCACTAGATTTTTTTTTATGATATCAGGAAATGACAAGACCTGAAGAAATCCAAAAAATAGAAAAATAGATTCGAAATGGAAATCTGTAATTAGAAATTTTCGAAAATCCCTGTAAAAACGATGTACGTTAGACGTACCCATTGACAATATGCAGTTTTCTGCTACATCTGGTAAGAACTGGTACGGATTTCCACTGTGTGGCAGAAGTGGTGAGTCGAAGAGGGTTGAGAACACCAAAGCCAAAACGTCTTGAGAACGAGCGTCCTAAATTCTTCCATTTTACTCTGATTACTTTAAGATGTGTGTTTTGGACTAGTCCAGAAGTAGTGGGTACATTCACGGTGTACTTCACGAAGGTTTTTGGAATACATGTGGATCAGATCGATATGCTTCTCTCAGAACAATTAATAACCCTCTCCTATATATCTGCTAGACACTTCTGCATAGGATTTTGATACCTATGGAAACACCCACTCATTATTTGCATTAATACGACTATATGTAAGCAGAACCTATAGACTAGGCTAGTAATTGCCCTTCACGCTGATCATCCTTTATCCTCTGCTCTTCAGGCACCCAACTTCTAACTCCACTTACGTATCATTGCAGATACAAGGTAACAATCCACGTCATCTATCTCCTTCTCTGTCACCTAAGAATACCTAACTTCAATGCCGAATAATTCCAAAATTCTTCGGAAGAATAGGATCCGTAGGAATGTGGAATGTTGGCGGTTATCTCTTTCTCAGTGGGATAGAAATACCATGAATGTTCTACATGCTATAAAAAAAGCCTAAATGTTGTTTCTTAATTCTTTGGTGCCGCTGTAAAATACCGATATCAGAAACTGGCAACCTGTTGAAAGGCAATCTCTATACTTCAGAGCCCTACTGTGACACTCGGTGTTTGCAGGCATCATGGTGCTATGTATAATATTCGCTATCACTTCAACTGAAAGTAAATCGACATAAAGTTGAAGCGCAGAAAAGAAAGAATCACAGAAATCCTACACCTTTTTGATGCGTGCTATCTTTGTACTTCTGTTTCTCCTCACTTTTTTTGGCACATAACTTTTCTGATTGCCGAATAATGGATAGCCTTAATATTACTTAAATGACCGGTTTTACGAATTCCGAGAATCCGAGCGCAGTTTCTATTTAAGTGGTACTATTTTACTGGTTAGGTAAGTATTTTTTCTTAGCGTATTGAAATCAATGTTCTATGGGTGTTCTGAACTCGTTAACAGTTCGCCGACACTTTTGGATCAGATGGAGGTTCACTATCTACTGATTCACTTTCTTTCAATACGATGATCACCCAACAAATTAAACCTTGATACTAACAGGTCTAGAGTTTGATTCTATATATAGTTTTCTAACGTCATTAGATTGTACCACAAATGGGTCCACAACCCCTTTTTCGGAAAAGCTCACTACAACCTCTCGTAAGCAACGAATTTCGTTTCGCCTTGGTCCTCTCACCTGTACCACCTCTCATACTGTTGATCGTCGAGTGACTTCAGCGGGCGCTAGTGAACCTTCCATTTTTTTGTGTGGTGTGAAAGAGTATCCTAGTGGATCTCGCTCGCTCCAAAAACATTCTGAGTATCACATCTTTTTTTCTAGGGTTTTTCTGAAAAACTTTAACCATAGGGCCAGTGGTCTTCATGCAGTAGTTTGGGTTTTTTAGTAGGTTTATCATCCTAAGAAATCCAGCCGCTGAGTGCTGTTGCCCATCGGTTATCGTTCAAACGCATTAAGAGTTATTTTCGACAGCTCGGAGTACAGAATGACGTCTTCGAGTTTTGATAGTTGAGTTAGATCGGGCTCCCAATGGTTTACCTCCTTATCGTGACTGGAAGATGTTCTTGGGTGTCAGTCTGCTATCTTATGCGGGGTGATTCACCCCCTGGCAAGGTTTCCCAGACCAAGAAGAAATTCGCCATTTCCATCAGGAAGCTTAGCTAAGAGTAAACCAATACCAATACCAGGTTCCACCACTATCCTAGTATGAAACTAATCGCATGGTGGAAAATCTCCCTCTGATCCACAAAGGTCTGTGACTATGACTACCTGTGGTAGTGACGACCTGGGGCAGATTTTGGCCAGGCTGACCTCGAGACTCCAGGAAACCACAGTGGCTAGACCAGGAAAACTCCGGAAAGCAGTGAAGACAGACCATCCAAGTACCTAAGTAGCTGCGATTTGGATCAGATCGGATCCCCTTTCTTAATTGCGTGGTAAAGGAGACTTGTAACATCGTACTTCCGACAGCGCGTTCAATAACGCTGAGCGATTTTTTATCCTGTTTAGGCAGCGACCATGCTTTTGACACATACGTTAGCGCAGTAAGCACCGCTGAGTCGAAAAGCTGGGCACGGAGTCGGGTGCTCTTTGTTCTCTTCACTACACCCTCGATCCTCTTGCAAACTCCCCACAGCGCTCGTTTCCTTGTGCTCAGCACTGAAGCTAGGTCATTCATCATATTCATTTACCGACCTAGATAGATATAATTGGAGCATTCAAAGATATACGTTCCGTTGAGCGTGAATGTGGCATGCGAAACCAATCCGTTCTTCATGAATATCGTTTTTGTAAGATTTAGTCGAAGACCAATCTTTCCACAGTCTATCAAAGTCGTCAAGCTTACGTTCCGCCTGGCTAATGTTTGGTGTTATGAGGACAATGTCATCGGCAAAACGAAGATGGTGTAACTGCCGACCGTCGATTTTCACTCCCATATTATCCCACTCCAATGTTCGCATAACGTTCTGGAGGGTGGCAGTAGCGGTAAATAATCCTGGCGATGGTTTCGCCTTGTCTAACCCCTCTTTTGACATCAGCGATATCGTTATAGAATGGTGATATCTTCGTTGGGAAACTTTTGTACAGCTTACGAAGAATCTTCATGTACTGAGTAGGGACTCCTTGTCTAACAAGGTGCTTCTGTCTCAGTTGAATCAAAGGCCTTCTGTAAATCGATGAAAGTGGGACGGGGCGCTCTTTTATACTCTTGCGATACTTCAATGAGTCTTGTTACTGTGTGGATGTGGTGAATCGTACTAAATCATTTTCAAAACCCTGCTTGCTAACATGGCTGTCCTCCATCTAGTGTTCTACCAATCCTGTTTAGGATAACTCGAGTGAAAAGTGTGTAGACGACAGATAACAAGCGGATTGGGCGACATTTGCCGATATAGTGGAGGTCACCCTTCTTGAACATTGGCACGGTCTTACTGGTTTTCCACTGAGTCGGGACCTTGCATTCAGACTGGCAACGTGTGAACGGCGGGGCCGGTGTGTTCATGAGGACTGGCGGAAGGTTCTTTAGGTGTTCAGATCTTATCCTGTTTAAACAAAGTGTTGTTCAATCTTTCACAGACAAAATAACATGTCGGATTTCATAAAAGAAAGTTGGTGAAACGACATATCCATCCTCCGTTATTTCATACGAGAACAGAAGGACATGGATATTGATGTTAACAGAGTAGTAATCCACTGTCTTTCTTCGATAAGCAAACACTACGTTGATATTGTAGAATTTATTAGCATTTATACTATCTGCATCTCACGGAAGAAAAGTTTTTTTTTAGGCTGTTTAACCTCCTATCCTCCACCTGGAGACGCGCTACGTTACCTAGCGACTAACCTGTATGAGATTTCCCTATAAAAGAGCCCCATGGTTCGTGCCGTTTTGTAGAACAATCGCCAAAAAGTGGTTCTCGCAAATTAAACAAATAAGTTTTAAGGGAAAACTGTTCAACAACCTGCTCCGTTGATGATCCAGTGTTCAGGAGAGACGGCCATAAGTTGGCTACTGTCGCTAGTATGCACAATGAGATGTTGGACATCTCTTTGAGTTAGTGATGGGCTAAATAGAGTGAAATTGTTCCAAAATGAATCCACATGGAGTTTCAGAAACGACCGCATACTAAAGATCGAAAGCCATTATTGATGTCACGTACTCACTTTGCTTCCAAGGCAAGTGCCAGTATAGCGGCTGCAAATGACGCAGCCGCAGATGATCCACTAATTGAAGCGCACTTGTTGTCAACATCGGTAGTTACCTTGAAGTCAACTTAATCAACAATCAACTTAATTGATTTCGCACTAATAGTATTACTTCGTGTTTTCAATACCAACTTTCAGCTAACTTTGACTGATTAATCAATCTTTTCGCTTATCGAAAAGCTTACACGATGCTGGTATAAACCGCCGTCGTGTGCCCTCGCCTTCTTCAGCGCGGCATAATTCGAGCCAAGTCTCTACAGCAGCTTTTTTTTGCGATTTGTTATAGAAGAACTAAAGAGCTACATCAAAGGATGGTGATGCATCACAGGACTTTTTTCATGCAGTAGTACACTTCATTCGATTCGATTCTATGTGATGTCCGCAAAGACCCACATCGCAAGCGGAAGCAACTGACGTGGACACTCCACTCGAATCACCGCGATTCTGTATAAGGCAAAGGTGACGAAACGTTAGACACAGTAAAAAAAATTGTAACAACTTCGTATAAACCTATCAATGAACCAAGAGAACGGCAATTCACCTAATTTCTTCCTACTGGTGTTATTTTAAATCTGTCACGTTGGATTTTTGGTCTTTGCTGTATCTTGAGATCTGACATAAAGATAGCACTACGGCAAGGATACATATTAAAATGTGAACAGTGATAGAAACCATTCCGCTCGAACTCTCACTGATGGATGCTATGATCGCACTGCATTCTTCTGCGTACCACGGTGACAAACCAGATGACGTTGCCACTCCGATGACGATCTGAATTGAATAGACCTTATTCTTGCGACAAAGCAGTTCCAGTTTTCGTAGAGCCTGTTTTTCTAAACAGTAGTATCGAGTATAAGCAAAAAGGTAAGGGATAGAACGATCAGCGTTGATTAATGCTTTAGTCACGAGCAATACATTCGATTCAAAAAGTAGAATCTCAAAGATGGTTGAATTCATATTTGTCGTACACATTGATTTACACCGCATGCCCACGCAGAAGGTTTGTGGTTTCCTTTTGCAAAGCGTCAAGCCAACGTTCACACTGGTATTGAATGGTAACTCTAGCCACTACACAATGCGTGCCCTATCGTAGCAAAGCTTTGATGACTCGCATACTATGAAAATGCTCAAAAACTTTTCACTTGAATCTTACCGTATTCATATTGCTCGCATAACCATCCATAGCACAATCGTCGTCTTCCAGACCACCGTTACCACTTGCCCATACAAAGATAGATCCGAGACCGCGGCGACCCTTGAATTATGAAATTCAGCAAGTGGGAGTTAATTTTTTTTATATGACCCGTCTTTACTTGCACTGTGCAGATCCCAGTACTTCTCACATTCGATTGTTTCCTCACATTCATTTCCCCGAAGATCCGCTAACTTTTACGTGTGGCTTCGGTTGCTGCTTGAGGATTTTGATTTCATCTTGAATGTCGTAAAATGCTGGTCGAGTCGATTCTCTCTGGAGTCCTGAGAGAACCAGGCTGTAGCATTCCCAACTTCATTGCGGACGGTGATTTTTTTCCCAGACAGGTAGCAGTTTTCCGACCTCGGAGGGATGAGAGGCTGGGTTGGCTTTGAGCAGAACCGAATTCACATCATGCTCGTGATAACGAACATCGCTACCACTGTGCTATCCGCGCCCTAGTGGAAGTCATAATGATAGCAATTTGCCACTGTAGCTTAACCCTTATAATGCAACATTTCCTGTCTAAGAAAGTAACCTGTTATTAAAGCTCTTATTCAACCAATGATGTCTGATGGTTCATTGAATTCACGAAATACAAACTCATTGTGCTTGAGGTGGTGCTCATCGGCTTCCACTTCTACGTCATTCTTACAATTAACAACTTACAGGTTCATGGAATTCTACCGTCTCCTATGGATTCCCAACTGAACTAGTAATCGTTGACCATTTTGACACATTGAACCGTTACAGAAGGAAAACATTTGAAGAAAACTATTTTTTTCTAAACTTCCAGGATTTTACACAAATAAGCAAAATGTACAACCATGCTTCTTCTATTTGGAAAAGACATACTATGTCGACTCATTGTGAATCACTCAGAAAATTTTCAAAATATCATGAGCAGAATTGTTTGTCAGAGCATTCCAACATTTTCTAGAACCCATAAAGTAATGGAGTTTGTGAAAAAATAGAAAAAAGGAAAGAAGGTGATTCATGGAAGAGTATCTGGACTTACATGCATCACACCGTTCTCTAACGCTTTTTGCGCCAGCGGTCCTGGTAGTTCGGCAGTACGGCCGTCGTCTGCTGGTCCCCAGCTTACAGAATAGATATCGATATCGTTAATCCTTTAAAAAAAACAAGTTTATCGTGCAGTTGTTGCAAAATTATTTTTTATGAGAAGAAGAAACTCCAAATGTAGTTATGGAACGAGAATGTTAACACAGAAAGTGAGCAATGACCCCACTCTTTCATAATTATGATGATGTCAGTTCTGTTAAAGGTAGGAGGCATTCGTGTAGAACTAACGTTATCTGTCAGCCTTTTTGTGCTCATTGCTATTCGTCTCCGTTCGTAGGAAATGTGCAAAGCTCTCCTATAGTATATTTCTATGTCGAAGACATTACTCTTCTCCGATTTTACTGATTTTCATGTGTAGAGGTTGTACAAAATAAAGTTATACGATTGAAGTGATTATAAGTACTGGGAAAAACCGGAGTTTTGCAGATATCTCAGCATTACTGTGGTTATATCTCACATTATACCCTCCTATGAAAAAAGAATGGCCAGTAAATGGCATAGGGAGGGAATTGATCCTTGAGCCCGTGGCCCAGCAAGCCTTCCATCACTCCGGAGTCGGAAAATTGGTACCAGAGAGTCGTCAACCATATGCGACTATAATCAGCTGTTCTAAACTTCCTCATTGGAAGTCACAAAAAAGCGGCTCTGAAGAAGGCGATACTGCCGAAACGTCAGCTAGCGTTGTATTGTATTGTGTTTTTATGGAAGTAAATGTATGCTGTTTAAAAACTTCCACTGAGGAACAACACCTCGTCATCTTCCCACCTCGTGTTTGTTCAACAAGAATATCGAGAACTATTTGATCAATGCCCAGACTACATGGTTTTTTTTCCTTATCGTGCTTGTGAGGTGTTTTCCTAGGTGTCCAACTGCGATGTAGAGGTGGGGTTCACTCTCTCACCAGGTTCACCGAAATTGAAAAGAATTTCGGCATCATATCCACCGCAAAGCCCTCCTATGAATAAAGCTATGCTATGCCTGAGCCAATGAGGTGGGTACCTATGGCTATTCGTTAAGCAAAGCAGTAAAAAGAACGAGTCCCATACGAAAAGCGATGAAACAACGCTGACATTGGACGAGGACAAATGGTGACTTTAGTGATGACCCCTTCGTGTTTAACAGAGTCACAGAATAGCACAGAATAATAAATTTTGTTATTTATAATAAGAACATAGCTCAGTAATGCTTCCTCACTTATATGCTAGAGCATCACCCTCAATCGCATCGTTCAGGTATTGATCCTTTTTGAGAACCACTAGCCCTAAGAAAAAGTTGTTAAAAAAATATGCATGTGGATGGAAAACGTAAGAAAGGTCAGCACAATGAACCAGACATTTCCTCAGTTATTCAGAAAAACCCCTTACCTCCCATTCGTGAATTATAGGCGATACCGACACCGCACCTTGAGTTGTTAGCAGTCATAGAGATAATTCCAGCACACCTGGTGCCGTGCCTGAGTTGTTTCTCTTATATATTTCAAACGAATTTATTCAGTTATAAATTGAGGCATAAAATTTTAAAAAGATATTACTACGGTAGCCGTTTAAAAAAAGGGTGAACTAGTAAAGTAAATGTTATACACGGATGGAGGCAGATGCCGACCGCAGATGCATACACATACACACACGCACGCACGCACGAACGCACGCACCGACACATAGGAAAACGCAAAGCACATACACATAGGGATTGTGGAATGGTATACTTCATTCAAATTGTCCTAGAAACAGTCTTTCCTACAATATTTAGACCTTGTTTTGAAAAATTATGAGAAAAGAAATTACCACAGCAATCAGTTTATACAATGATTTACTGTGGATTTACCTAATATATTCCATCTGCATTATACTTTATTTTACTATTAAGAATGAACGTGGACAAGTAGAGAAGAAGAGGAAAAGTCGAAGTGTCTAACAAACCTATTAAAACGAACCCTGGAAGAACATCATCTACGAGTTCTCTTTCTCTCACACTCCCTTTTTCACCCTCATTTTCATATTCATTCTTCATTCTCATCGATCTTTATTCATCTCCAACAATCGTTGATGCAATGAATTACCGCAATGCTCAGCTGAGACAAAGCTGAGTTTCCTCAAAATCAGAGATCGAACTGAAGACATTATTGTCTTCGCGATAACTCTTTGTCGCAATTCACTGCACCGTTAATGTTTAAACTGTGAAATCGCTTAAAGAAGTGACTAAATTTGTCGTTTTGATGAATGACATGATAATAAAATCTCTGATTCGGACCACGAGAACAGAATCTATTGAGCTAACGTTTCGATCATGTTTGGTGTTACATCAGCTCTTCTACTAATAAAATCGTACGAGACCGTCGGATCAAATGTGCCTCGAAGATCGTCGTGAGTCGATTCAATACCATCATCCTAAATAAATATCGATCAAAATCGTTAGTTATCGAGACGTACCACATATACAGTAGCGTTCTAGGCTCACAAAGCCTTGTAATAGACTGAGCAAATGCTGAAATATATTTGTTATACCATAGCTTCAGCTTAACTGGGTTCATGCCGATTTGTGCTCGCCAGATCAATCCCGTTGACGCGTGATTGCTGACTTCGCCAATAGGTCAATAAGACGGCTGAAGGACAGGCGAAAGAAGGGACTCGCATAGTGTGGTGGTTATATGAAGCAGGATCATATATGTAGTAAAAAATCGAGACTTTATTTTTGATTTAAATCTTTTAATGAGCACCAGCAACCAATTTTCAAAAGGTTAGTAATTCGTACCATAGCAGTTGTTAATTACTTGAAGTGCCTAGAGATTCGATGCAGTATGGCTTTTCGTTCGACTCCACCGCTTGGATTCACCAAGCCTTCCACCCTCGAGGCTAGCAAGTTGGTGCTAGACCTGTTTAGAAAGACAGCTACAGGCATATCGGTACCAGACTTGTTTAGGAGGATAGCTGCACTGACTTGACACATCGGTAAGCCACCGCAAGTTTTTGGGTAGGCCAACTATGCACCCGGTCCCAATTTTACAAATTGAGTCCGCTACATTGCGTATTTGTAATGAACTGATCAAAGTCGAACGATTTCTTCTGATGCTCAGATAGTGGTAATAAAACACTTGGATGCCCATCCCACATTTGAGTCAGTAATCTGGTCTACAATCTTACATGTCTAAATATGAAGTCAAAATACGGAACTCAGCAAAATAACGCTGAATACAATAAAAGGGAGAAAACAACACCGCCTACCAACACGGCTATTGTTACTCCTTTGCCGCTGAGACCTTGAGCCCAAGTTTCTGCTATCGACATTTTCGGAAACGTTGACCACTAAATAAGATAACTTATCTATTCCTTGGACGATTCGCCGCTTTTTTCTGTACTACCGTCGTCACCTTACCGATTGAAGTTGTGATGCGTAGAGCGGATCGATGAAGGTGATTCGTTTTTCACGATGCAACGGCTTTAGATACTCGGCCCAACGAATCTGAAAGTTCGAATCCCTGTACGAGTTGTCGTGACATCGACAATGGGGGTCCTTTGCAAAATTAAAGGTTTTTTTTCCAAACTTCAGAAGAAAAATCAGTAGATAAAAATAAATGCAACTACAGTCTAAAACAAAAGTATAGTAGTATAATTATCATAAACAAACGTATAGATAGTGAAAAGTATATAAGAAAATCAGAAGACGTGCGAGTCAAGTACGGGTCACATTTTCGTCAATATGTCTTTAAACAATTATTTTTTTGTACTACAAATTGGTTTATTGATGTGTTTGCGCAAGCTAACATCACATAAAACCCATCTAGTTGACATGGGAACATGCTTTTCCCTCATGAGGTGAAGGGACCTATTCAGAAATATGGCTGGTGCAGGAGGACTGTAAATGTTTTCTTCTTGCCCCCGTATTGCAACAAGCTCATTGGTAGCTTTTTTTACACCATGCGTCCTACTGTACCGAATTTGGCACATCTCGCCAATTTGTTTCCTCGTATTCATCACCCAAGAAAGTCGTTCATCTTTTTACGTGTGACTTCAGTGGCTGTTTGAGGATTTTTCTATTATGCTCTTATAAACTGATCTTGCTTAGCTGATGCGAGGTTGGTATAGCCGTCGTTGTCGCTGTTGTTGTTGTCATTGCTGGCGGTGGAAGGCTGACGTTTCTGCTATTTCGCCTTCCTCAGAGCCGTGCTGTTACGGGTGGAACCAATTTTCTTTGCCGCCAGTTTAAAATACCAAATTGTTCCTAATCTCATTAAGCATAGGAGATTACACCAAGTATGCTGAAAAAAGAATCGCACCCGTAACAGCACAGCTTTGAGGAAGGCGAAATCGCCGAAACGTCAGCAATCGACCAACAACGACAACAACAACAAAAACGACAACTATACAAACTTCTCACCATCTCAAGAAGATCAGTTTATAAAAACATATAAATAAATATATCGGCTATTTATGCCGAGGCTTACAGAACGTCGGTCCTTTGAGTAATTAGGAGATGCTTGAGGATTGTCGTCATCTTTATGACATTCGTTGAATGCTGGTCAAGCCGACTTTCCCTGGGGTCCTGGAATAGCCAGACTATAGTGCTGCCACTTGGATTGCAGAAAGTTACCTTTTCCTAGACAGGTCTGGTACCATTTTTTAACCAGAAAGGACTAAGAACCTTGGTGACCCCGGAGCGGAATCGACCCGGTCTAGGGCTTGTGATGAGCAGCACCACATTCACTGCGGCGCCCTCTCATTAATGGGTTTACAATCCTAATGTCCTCAAAAAAACCATCTCTTCTGTTTTCCATGCACAGGAACATTAAACTGCTTAGGAACACCGCCACCGTCACCATCACCATCACCATCACAAGAGAACCGTAAATGATTTCACGTTACTTCCGTATTATTGAATTATTGCTTGTTGTGGTTAACCCTAAATTGGGTGCTTCAAATAAAGATTTTTACCAACGGTGGTGAGTTGCTTTTTTCATGTGTGGGACACTAACTCGTTCAGGAACACGTTAACCAATGTGGAAATGATTGCGCTATCGCTTGTCTTGATGGCGTCCTCTGGATCCTTTGTGGATCACCATTATTTCCTCCTTGTTATGCTTTTGCTTTTTAATAATTACGCACTGAGGAAAAGTAAATTTAATTTTTCCTATGGCAATAACTGCAGACTTTTTGGCTGTCATTGACCATCATTGATTTTGTAAGAGCAGTCTGGGAACTCGTACTTTCCTGCGACATCGGACATATATTCGTTTCTTGCTTGTTTTTTTACATACGGAAAAATGACGGCAAGGTAAACAATATTGCAAAAAAGGATAAAAAAAGAGAAAGCTCTCGGCGTTGATCAATCCCTTAGGGATTCTCCATACATTCAACATTCAGCACTGTTAGAGGTGACTGAATGCATATCTGGCCCTTACAACGACTCGTAGTAGCCTACCGATGTAACGAACCAGTGCCGCTATCCTCCCAGACAAGTCTAGTACCAATTTGCCCACCCCGGAGAGATGGAAGGCTTGGTCGACCATAGGCGTGGGAATCGATTCCATGTGTGTGTCGCAGGGCGCCTCTGACCACTGCCCCTCACGCGCCCTTAACACAGTTCAAACAAAAATAATAAATAAGGAATAATAAAAATAAACAACCTTTTCCAACGCGATGAGTTCCTCGACTATTTCAGTTGTATCTCGTTGATGTCGTCCTCTTTTTCTCGCAATAAAGACATTTTCGAACGATTGTAACTTAAAGAAGTTTTTTCCATTAAATTATTGATTGTTTGAAAGATTGTCTAACTTACCGTAATAAAGTTCATAGAATATAGTAACATGCCATTCTTTTAGTATCGCTTTTTCATTTATGCTAACGAAGAAGTTTTCCGAAGAGAAAATATTATTCCGTTTAAGCTTCCATTGTTTGTCCCTGCTTTTCAAAGCTTTGATTACAAAATAGTTGTTTTTGTATAAAGATAGGCAACAACATTAACATAAAGAGTAAGAGCACAGAGTAAAGCTCTCGCCGTTCGTCAAGCCCTGAGGGATGCACCGTGCATTTGACTTCGTTAAGCATCGTTAGGAGATGATTGAATGCATATCTGGCCTTTAAATTGACACGCGGTGGCCTACTGATGTATCGAACCAGTGCTGCTATCCTCCCAGATAAGCCTGGCACCAATTTGCCGACCCCGAAAGGATGAAAAGCTGGTTGAGCCACGGTTGCGGGGATCGATCCCATGTGTGTGTAGCGGAGCGCTTCCGACCACTGTGCCACATGCGCCCCATAAGATTGATAAGATTGATAAACATCTAGCAATCGGTGTAAAATTATACCGATCTACACATAGAAATTTTTTTGTAGCAAAACTGTCTACGAAATCAAGTGGCATTTCTCGAAAACTCATTAATCTACTTCAAAATAGCACCGATTTCGCTTGGATATATGTTGAACGAAAAAAGGTGGAAATCAATATGGTTTGAAGTCAATGCATGAGCAAATCAAATAGTTCATTTTGGCATGCGCGAACGCTTGCTTTTCTCTCACGGACGCTAAAAACGCACATCTATCGGTTATCCGTTGATCTGCTCCTTGTTGGAGCATTGAATACTACAGTTTATGTATCACCAATATATCTAAGCTCACCCTATCCTCAATAACAAATCCAGAACTTCGAGCGATACGTTGCACTGTCAACCAGTCGGTCGCATCTACCTCGACAGCGAATCGATGTCGCTCTCTACTGTCGTCGTCAGAGAATCGGAAACGCAGACCAAACGCTTCATCAGATTTTAGAAGGCTCTCTAGTACAGCGTTAAGTCTGTCGTCAATGGCAGAAATGATCGAAAAGAGTTTGCTTGCGAAAATGACTAGCACTGGTGTGAAGACTTTCATTGGTACACAGAAACCAATGATAAGAGACCTGCCTTATCAGTGAATAGATTTTCTAGAGATTCGAAGCAATTCCCATATCATCTCATATGTGGGCCATTTTTATTACATAGATAGAACATCTATTTCTTCCTCTTATGGGGAAAAATCGCTTTCATCATCATTATCATCGAAGACTAAAGCAGACGTTCAAAAACAGAAGAAAAGATAAATTGAAAAATATTACACCATCGTAGCCATCGTCTACAACAAGTTAGAATTTTATATATATTCATTAAAATGAAATGGCTTCCCAACGGTTTGTCGCCTCATTGTGGCTGGGAGGTGTTCTTGGATGTTGGGCTGAGATGTTCAGCGGGAGGATTGATCTCTCAGCAGGGCCTTCCAGGCTGAGAAGGAATCCGGCGCTTCCATCAAAAAGCCCAGCTAAGAGTAAACCAATATCAAGATCCACCACTGTTTTGTTGTCAAATTAGATGCATAGTGGAAAATCTTTCTAGAAGGGCAGCGAGTGCCTGTGGTGGTGGCGACCTATGGTAGACTTTGGCTGTGCTAAGCTTGTGACTCCAAGAAACCACAATGGCTAAACCAGTAAAACTCTGAAAAGTGGAAATTATGCTGCGGCCCGTACAACCAGTGAGGACGGGTCATCTAAGTACTCAAGTATATATAATGCGCCGGAGCATGTAGTGCAGTTGTTAGAGGCGCCCTGAGGAGGAACCTTTTACTTTACTCAGCGGTATCCATCTCGAACTCCTGAAACAAGTGTTTGCTTCCATGGTGGCTTTTTCTGTCGGAGAGTTATCAAGGGGCAAACAAGTTCTAATCTCCACGGTTCTGGAAAAGGCAGTATTACCGAGGAATCGGCCTACATCCTGAACGAGGTGCTATGGTTTGGATCGAATCATTTAATAATTATCATAAGATCATTAAGGCTAACATGGAAAAAAAGCGTTCGAGAGCTGATGGAGAAGAAACTAGATTGTGCGACTGGTGTTTCTACTGATCTTACTGGCCTTATTCTAGGAAATGTGCATTTTGGAGACGCTGAACGGGAAATATTTGAGGGCGTTAACATGGACATCCGAGAAAGGCTAACGAAGAGTATGCACGACCCCTACGATATAAAGTGCTTCAATGGCTTTTAGTACTGGAGCGATGGACGGAATAGATTATCCGTTGAAAAACAAATCATAATCAGCGGATAGTCATATCAGCAGCAACTGCCCTGTATAAAAGATAAATATGCTGAGTGAACATGCCTCATTCGTGTGGTGTTTCACTGTAGAAGATCCGTCTCGATATGACGACGGAGACTCCACATCGAGAAGGCGAACAACTGTGGACCATCGGCTCGGACCATCGGCTCTGATAAAGACGAAAAGGTCGAGATGATAGCCGAAATAGATCTCATCATCATTCTTGTGTAAACTCAGCAATTCATGTACATGTCGATTATAGTTGACTACTTTTCGAGCAAAACGATCTTGAAAGGATTTTTCGAGATCTATAATCTTCTAACCTCATCATTGACTAATAACCCTTTTCTTCATCAGCGAAGACGAGCTTGTTATAGCAGGATCTATTCATTCACGATAGCCGTCGTATCACCTGTTTTGCTTTCTTCGAAGCCTCGAAAGGCTGAATTGGCACGCAGTCTACTTATCCAAACACAGTGGTCTATCTGTTTCGCCAGAGTATCGGCCCCTCTACGAAAGATCAAATAGGCTGTGTCAAAACTGGTCCAGTGAACTTCTCAACGCTTAAAGCAATTTATGCAATTTTGCGTTGTGCATAAACGGTCACACTAACGATTACGAACTAATTGGTTTCCTAGATTAATCGATTCTGTTTCAATCACTGGCACCAAATTCTTTAGACGGGTCTCTTTAAGCATCGTTCTATAGCTGCACTTATTTCGTTGGAAATGAAGCGCACAGTAAACGAGAGCGTATTCCAGCAAAAAAATGTCCCATGGGGACATAGGTTTTCCCCTGTAGTTATCCCGAGAAGCCACGCTTTCGTAGCCATTGGAAATGGCTAGTTTCTAGGCCCATTTCAGTGATTCTTCATTCTGCTTTCATCCTGTGCATACTTAGCAGCTGTTCGAAATATATTTTTTACAAATGCCCTTTTCATTTGTAGGTAGTGAGAGGAGAGGTGATGAGCTAGTGCATTTTTGCTACTTGGTTTGCGGTATCGCTTGTTGATGTAGCGACTTTGGGATAGCTCAGTTTGAGCGTTCAGAAATGAAAGCGAGTTTCCTTTTAGCTTCTCTCGGGTGAATTTTATTAACTCCTACTCTTGGCATGCCCACCGATCTCGCTCACAGTAGGATCTCATTCCAGTTATCCGGTTAGTCGCGAAGCAACGTGGCGCATCCATAGGTGGCAGATAGGCGGTTAATGCCGAAAAAAAACGCGACCTTGGCTTTCAGTAGATTCTTTGGGCTCGTCACTTGGAGATTTTAGCGCGAAGACTGGTCCCAGAAGAACGTCTGAACAGCATCATATTGGGATCCTCGGATTATAATGGAATGAGCAGGGTGAGCTGTCTGAGATTATCACAACCAATGAAACCATTTATGGAAACTCGCAATTTTAAAAGTTCTGGTCTTAACCTTCGACGTCAGAGTCTCCTAATGGAGAGTACCATAACGAGAGAGACGAACGAGAATGGCTATGTCATCTCACCGGTTCAAACCCCCGAAACCCAACATGCCATTTCAGATCTGAACACCCGAATAACCTTCCGCCTCTCCTCGTAAACGCGCTGCATAGGCTGCTCACACGTTACCTGCTGGGATGCGATGTTCTTACCCAGCTGTAGTCCGGTGAAACCGTGTTTTCACTCGATTCATCCAAAACAGAATTGAAAGAAGCAGTCATGCAGAGATCGTAGGCCCTAGACTACCAGGTAGTCCCAAATCAACATATAAAGATTCTTGATGAGCTATATAAAATTTTTCCAACTGAAATATTTATCCTTTTACAAAGATATTATCATCGACGCCAAAAGAGGTGTTATGCAAAGCAATAGAATCTCGCCAAAATTATTTACCACCACCCTCGAGAACACCATGCGAACATTGGAATGGGATAATATGGGAATGAAATTTGATATCCGTGAGTTACAGCACGCTCGTTTTGTCGATGATATCGTTTTTATAACACCAAGCATTAGCCAAGGGTAATGAATGCTTCTCGGATTCGACAAAGCCAGTGGAAGGATTGGCCATCGATTAGATCTCACAAAGAAGAAATTCACGAGGAATACATTGGTTTCGTATGCTGCATTCACGCTCAGAGGAGGAATATCTCCGAATGCTTTAGCTACAACTGCCTAGGTCGGGGAATCAACACGATGAAGGACATAGATCCAGAGTTGAGCGGGAGGAAGCGTGTAACTTGAGCAGCCTTCAAGAGCATCGATAATGTAGTGAAGTGAAGAAGGAACTCCCGACTCCCGCTCACCTTTTCGACTTTACGATTCTTCGTTCCTTAACGTATGCACCAGAAAATTGGTCGCTGGGTAAGCAGGATGAAGGGTCACTCAGTGTTACTGAAGGCGCAGTCAAACTGACGATGGTAGGCGTATCGCATATCACGCAGGTTAGGGAAGAAATTCGAAGCTTCGACCTGTGCCAACAATCAAAAAGCAAGGATGCCGTTCTATATCCTAAACTGTCGAAGATAAGATCTGGCGGACAGGTAATGCGTATGAGTAACCAATGGGCAAGAGACGTAGCGACTTGATTCTTCGGGATGTCAAATGCATAGCAGGAAGACCACTGACCCGATGCTCAGAGTTCTTCACGAAGAGACTAGAAAAAAGTATAGTGCTCAACGAGTTTCTAGAGTGAGATCAACTCACTGGGGCACTCTTAAATATGACAAGGAAAAATAGAAGATTTTCTGACGCACGCTCAAGTCTCTAAACGATCAATAAGACGAGAGGTGATATACATAATACTTAGTTTCGCAATTGAAAACATTTGTCCATCTCCTCTTGGGTTGAGCAGATGACAAACAATTGATTATGCCATTTTTGATTATTAAGCTAACGCGAAGTTAATAAAGATGTTTATTCACCTGACGTTTAGACAGGTTCTTCTTCGTCGGAGCCGATGCCATTAATTCAATGGTTCACAGTCGCTCGTCTTCTCGATGTGGCCCCGTCTTCGCCTTTGCATCAGATCGAATCTTCCTTGGGAAAAATAACATTAAAGAATAAAATAAAAGTGAGGAAAATACTAAATTATCTATATATCTACAATGGAGTAATGCCCGGAGCTCGATTACTGCTGCATTCATTTTAGACTTGAGGGCATTGGCAAAGCTCGGCGACAATCACTGTACAGTTTCCAACTCTGTCATTTGTTTTAACTTATTATTTACTGCCTACTCTTTTTTAACGGCAAGGTATACATTGTGAAATATAACTTCAATGATGCTGAGATATTTGCAAAACTCCGGACCGCAGGTGCACGCGGTGGGGAACGAACACGCTATTGTCCTTTCCAGGGAGTAGCGCGTTCACCACCACACCATCCGGGTCCTTCGTTTCGCCTGTCTCTCAGCTAGTTCTATCGATCTTTTGCCATCAGCAATCACCCGTAACCAAGAATCCATGTATGTTTGTTACTCCACCGAATTCAATGAGCAGTTCGATGGTGGCTTGCATAGCGAAGTCATCAAACAAGTTTTTATAAAGGACACTAACGTCGAAGGACTCTACCACGTGAGCGCTGTTGTGACGCGCGTTATGTAGACGATTCAGGTAGATCTTGGCAAATACAAATTCATGAATAACGAATGGACAAACCAAATTTCTTTATCAGGCATAAATGGTTATAGGAAAAATCAAGTAGAATCCAATAGTTGACGTAAATTATAGGACACATTGAATGGTCGGAAAGGGACTAATTACGGAGTATTAATTAATCATTTTGAAAGCCACTGTATATAAGCCGGTACCGTAAGAAGATAGCCATGATCGTAGACATAAATTCGCTTATCATACGGATTATACGAAATCATGTTCGCATTCTCGTAGAGGTTTATCCATCTGATATTGGGCTTGGAGTACTGTAGTCGATAGAAGTCGTATCCGGTTGAGATATACGTTCGCTGACGGTGAGCGTCATCGATCTGAAAACGATATTCTATGCTTTTTTTCCCAGCATTCTCACTTAATACATTTGTAGATGGAATCAACTGGCCTATTGACATTTATACAGACTAATACTATACAGTTCACGATTTATATAACTAAATAGAAAAAAAAGAAAAGAGAAAAATTGGTTCTTGGAACAACATGCACTTCAGAAATCATTTCTGAAATTCCTACGATTCTATCGGATATAGATATAGATATAGATAATAATAACTGCGCTTTTGTTTCTGATTTTCAGCACCGTAGGAGGTCTTAATTGTGACCCTAAAAAATTTTAGAGGCTATTTTTTGAGAAGAAAAGGAATAACATGGGAGAAAGATTTTGGTCCTACCGTGTACAACATGCCACAGATTACAATTCCATTCGCGATCTCAGTATGATTTATGAGAGTGAGATTAAACATCTCATAAATTGTCAAATTATTGATGTCGACCTGAAATCTTCAATACTGTAAATGGAATTGTAGACGAATATATACTGTCACATTTTCATTTTTTCCAATACTGTCATATTCTTCTATTCTCCTTATTTTGGTTTATACGAACCGACTTTCACATCTACTGTGCGAAATCCAGCATTTCGCACATTCGATTCATCTCCTCGCATCAATCATCCTTGAAGGTCCTACAACTTTCACGTATGCTTTCGGCTGCTACTTAAGGATTTTCCTTTCATCTTCAACGTCGTTGTATACTGGCCAAGTCGATTCTTCTTGGGGTCCTGACGTAACCGAGCAAGAGCATTTTCACTCCTATTGCAGATAGTTTTTCTTTTAAACGATTGGAAAACTAGGTCTTATACTCGCTTTCGCGTGCGACTTTTTATAGCTACAAACGATTCACTGTGCAGTAGGAGCTCCCTCGAAAGCTGCGTTCCAACGCTTGTACGAAACATCCTTCTACGAGCTAATATGTGAACTAACTAGAAGACGATATTATGAGACCTATATAGTGCAGTGGTCAGGGGTGACCTGCAATACACTTGTTATCGTTGGTTCGATTCCGCGCCCGGGTCTGACCAGATACTTTAATCTTCCTATGTCATAAAATTAACGCTAGACTTGTATGGCAGGATACCAGCACTGCCTCGATACATCGGTAGGCCACCGTAAGTCATTGAAAAGGCTAGATATGCATTCAATCACTTCCAAACGTTGTTTAATGAAGTCGAATGCATGCCGAATCCTTCAGGCATTGATCAACGCCGAGAGCTTTATTCTTCATTCTTCATCTACGCCGTGGTATCCACTCAGATTAGATAGAGGGAAGTTATGTCACAAAACAATGTTTCAAAACTAAATAAGGCTCTGAGCAAATTACGCTCTGTATTTAGAGAAATAAATGCCGCTATTAATAGGTTCCTTTAAAAAGTAGACAAAAGAATTCTGCTGCTCCACTTATCACCATACGTACTCGGCTTGAGCGCAACTGTCCCTATAATCGTTTATGTAGCACTGAAAATTGAGTTATCTTCACCGAAATAAAGACGAGCATTGAGCAAGTTCCGATACACAGTACTGATCTCATCTAAGGCATACGGTGAAGAATATTTTGGCGAAACCAGTAGATCACTATATGCTCGCACAGAACACCTAGACGGAAAAAATTAAATTCGACAAGGTACTGTTCTGGGTACACATACGACACAAAAAAGAACACGGCGACTTCGAATGGGTAGTTACGATTTCGGCATCGGAATAACAGACATTAACGCACTCTACAAGCGTTATGAAATGGCCCAAAAATCCAAAAATGAACAGAGAAGACGAATGTCTCAGTAGTAAATTATTGTATGAACGAAGTATTAACGTTCGCTTAGATTAGGTCGTCATCAACACCATGCAAAATACACTGATGTATACGAATAGAGTTGCATGAAACACGTGTACTCTATGGTAAAGCCGATGTGGTCAACAAGTCAGCCATCGAATTTCAAGAACAACTGCTAACAACCAACAACAGCTCAACAAGGAGAGTTTGTGAAATTTAAATCAAGTTAATGCCGAGACCAGGTGTAAGTTGCTCTTTCGATTTGATGAAACCTATCTGCGCATGCTTGTGCCAACGAACAGCGCTCACTGACCCTAACCAAAGACGGTGTAGCTTGGCGAAATTTCCAGTTAATCACAACAGCGAATCGTTAGCGCTTGTATTAAATTGTTCAGAAATAAATGAGCGTTTTAAAATATCTGTTGCCTCAATGAATTTTTTGCCAATAAAATATTTTTGCGCCTTGCAATATTATACATCATTAAAAAGCTAATTTTATACTCTTTTCAACCAGATTTTTATATTTTCTCAAAATTTAAATTTCTTTTTACCAATTTGGAGCCTTGCAATTTCTGATGTCAAAAACGAATTTTTGTCAAATTTTCTTCTATGAGTTCAAAGCCGATCGTGGTCCAGCACAGACGGCTCGAAATATTACTGAAAATTGGGGTAAAGTAGTATTGGTGAGTCAACATTGCGAGCATGGTTCCGGAAATTCCGATCTGGTGATTTCGACATCGAAAATAAGGAAGGCCGCGGGCGTCCCACTGAACTCAACGATGACGAATTGAAGTCACTAGTAGAAGCAGACACCCGAACTGTTCGAGACTTTACAAAACAGCTCGGCGTAAGCACAGGAACAATTTCCACTCGCTTGAACCGCATAGGGAAGAAGAAAAAAACTCAACGAGTGGGTGCCGCCCGAATTAAACGATAGTCGAAAAGATTGTCGTTTTGAAGCGTCGTCTGGCTCTTATGTGTAAGGCAATCCGTGACATTCTTCTCAATGGCTGGATTGCGATCAGGCTCCACAGCACTTTCAAAAGCGAAATTGCATAAAAAAAAAGTTACGGAGAGTGTTTGATGGTCTGCAGGCGGGCTGATACATAGTAGCCTTTTCAATCCAGGCGAAACGATTACGGCAGAGAAGTATTGCCAACAAGTCGACGAAATTCACCGTAAGCTCCAACAACAATGATCGCCATTCAAACAAAAATAAAGCTCTCGATGTTGATAAATCCTTGAGGGATGCGGCATGCATTCGACTTCATTAAGTATCGTTGGAGGTGATTGAATGCATATCTTGCCTTTACAATGACTCGCGTTGGCCTACCGATGTATCGAGCCTGTGCTGCTTTTCTCCCAGACAAGCTTGGTACCAATTTGCGATCCCGGAGGTATGGGAGGCTTGGTGGGTCATGGACGTGGGTGTTGATTCCACGTGTGTGTTCGCCTCCAATCACTGCGCCACACGCATCTTGATCGGCATTAGTCAAGAGAAAAGGACCAATCTTTCACGACAACGCCCCGCCTCACGTTACGGAACCAACGCTGCAGATGTTGAGCAAGTAGGGCTATATAACTTTGCTTCATCTGTCATATTTACCGCACCTCTCGCCTATCGGCTATCACTCCTTCAAGCACCTTCACAACTTTCTGCGCGAGAAATGCTTCACCCACCATGACGACGCAAAAAATGCTTTTAACGCATTCATCGCTCTTAGAACTTCAAAATTTTAAGCAACAGGAATAATTAAACCTTCTTCTCGTTGGAAAAAATATGTAGATTCGAATGGCTTTTATTTCGATTTATGATGCTTGGTTTGAAGCAAGTTATCACATTCAAACAATATAGTTAGAAACGCTCATTTACCTCTGAATAACCTGGGGGTCTCTACAACTTTAGAATAAGATTATTTATTAAATCAAAACGCTTGCTATTTTGATAGAAACTTGCTGCTGGCTGGAATTCCGATTGGAAGCATCGAATTCCTTGCCGACAACCGTTGTGCTGTTGGATGATAAACGCTTCATGCTTCGAGCGTCCTTTTTCAATGCAACAAAACGTTGTAATGACTTTGTATCGCAAATTTATGTGTTATTCTTAAAAAGCAAATACACTCTTATATGTAATTTGCTCGTATCTATACCTTTGCCACACTGAGGAAATCCTCGTTCTCGTAATGAAACATGATCCACAACGCGTTCTCATCGATCGCCAAGTCGAAATAGTTCATTGAGTTGTTGAACAAATACTGAAAAGTTTATGAGTGATTGATTGATTTCAACTTTTTGGCAGATGAGTACGGTTTTCCTTAGACTCTCGTGATCATGACTTCTGGATGATATCGAAGCTGTCAGTGTAACATTTCACCTCGGCCCATATAGAACACCATAGACTTTCACCATCATTGTTACCGAAGACCAAACCAGAAGTTTAGAATTAGAAGAAAAGGGGGATTGAAAAATACTCCAACACCATAACCATTATCCAAACGTTAAATTAGAAGTTTATACATGCTCATTCAAATGAAATAACATCCCAACGGTTTATTGTCTCTTCGTGGCTGGGAGGTGTTCTTGGGTGTCGCACTGCGATGTACAGCGAGAGGATTCATCCTTCAGCAGGACCTCCCAAGCTGGGAAGGAGTCCGGCGTTTTCATTAGGATGTCCATTGAAGAGTAAACCAATACCACGATCCATCACTGTTTTGGTATCAAACTAGTCGCATAGTGGCAAATCTCCCAAGAAGGGCAAGTGTCTGTGGTGGTGACGATCTGGGACAGACTTTGCCTAGGCTGACCTCTGAACTCCAGAAAACCACGTTGGGTAGGCCAGTAAAACTTCGAAAAAATGGAAATTCTGTTGGGGCCTGCATAACCAGCGAACGCGGGCTATCGAAGTATCCACCGAAATGAAGCAAATCAGTATTAAAGCGCGTAATGAATTGAATTCAGTGATTGACCTTTGGATAGCATGTACCGCCATAATTGGTGGTGATAAATAGCAATTTTTTCCATCATGGTAATTAAATAAGTTTTTCTTATTCATTGAAGAGTTTTTATAAATGAGAGTGATTTTAAACCGTGAACATGGCCAATTGTAACTTAGCACAGACGAAACTCTCCACGAAATAAGAAGGTTGTCCACCAATTCTGCATCAAATTCATATGCACTTTCTGTACAGCCTATTCCTCTGCTATGTAATAAACTTTCTGTAAACAAGTAAAATTTCCGTACAAGTTATCCAATCTCCATTTGAAAAACTTTCATGTTGGCAAAGCTTCTTGTATACTGTCCTATCTATCTGCCGTCCTATCTACTCCTTCGTATGTACCGTGTCGTGCTTCGAAGCAGCTCTATGAGATTGACTTTAACTGTCAGCTGAGAAACTCTCAAGAATCCTTTTTGAGGCATAACTTTAACCCCCTTTAGCGACATTTTATTCATCACAGAAAATAGAATGCAAAAGAACCACTAGTCGTCCCTCAGTTTTCTCAAGTAGTTCTTTTACAGTTTCCATCGTCCTCTCGTCTTCTCATTTCACGTTGTGGAATTCGAGTGGGGGGCTCTCCATTAATAAGCAAGCTTAACTTCGGTGATAGGTTATACCTTTTCCGCTCCAATCGCCAATGACTTAACTGTTTCTTATTCCTTGTTGCAGTTATTCAACATCAACAATTCTCTAGCCGATGACACCGGCACTCTCCGTAGATACAACTTGGCCTCATCTTTTCTTGCGCCGTCACTTGCTTCTCAGTCTTCTTGGTCGTTGTTCTATATAAAAAATATATATATATATCTGTCTTGAATTGTGTTCTATATAAAACTCCTCTTTCATATTACATCATCAGTATATTGTAGAAGCTGCTACCCTCTTGCTTTCAATGTAACTTTTTGCTCATTGGTTTTCGTCTTTACTCGTTGACACCGTTTTCGTCTTGACGCTTATACTGTTTACATTTTTGAACAACGTCATATCGTTATTAGTGTATTAACATTGTTATAAACTATATGATTGCTCAAGCTTAATCTTAGAGTTTGACAGCTACAAAGAATTCCCGCGTGACAAATGGATGAGAAGTTCAGTATCCTATCTATAGTAGAACTGATGATTATTCCATACTGACAACTGACTCGAACTATCGCACTCCAAAAAGCTAATCACTACACTTAATGGCTGCAGTAACTCGTGCCATTTTTTTGCACGATGTAATGAGAGAAATAGTAAATATACTTTACAATGTTAACGGAAAGGACAACAGCGCGTTCATTCCCCACCGCATACACCTGCGGTCCGGAGTTTTGCAAATATCTCAGCATCATTGAAGTTATACTTTACAATAATTTCTTTCTATAAAGCCTTTCTTCCAGAAAAAGATTTCAATTGCTTATATTTTGCATCGGTGAAAGAAAAAAAGACTGACATTGTTCCCATGATGCGCTGCACCTAGCATTTCGATCTCATCGTAGTGACCACTACTGAGTTCAAATTTTCCAATTCGTGGAAAACCGGCCCGATGAAAAAACAGAGAACCGTTGAATATCAAATGATTTGTGCCGTCGAACACATAGGGTAGTCGGTATCTGAAATAGTTTTTTTCTTCACTTTTCGAAAAGTAAAGTACAGCAGTCAGAGAATTTCTCACCGAACACTTACTCATTCGTTCTTCGTAGATGATTCTTTTTATTATCGTATAGTCCACAATTTATAAAATTCTTTTTCACAAGGTTTATAACCCTTTTTTCACTACTATGCTTATTCTGGTTCTCTCCCTCTCTCTTCTCTCTCATAGCTCCAAAATAGTATGACATCATTCTCAACGTCACGCTAGGTCTTTTTTTGAAGCACTTAAACTAAAAGCGGTAATTTTACTTTTACTTCGCAGGGTGGTTGTAGGAGCTTAGGCTAAAAAAGAGGCCCACTGAGCTAACCTCGTCCCATTACTTTAACCCGAAGTAAACTTAAGGTTTTTGAGTGGAAATCCTCACTATGAGGAACGTGAGGAACTCGTCGACGCTGCAGTATTCTGTGGGACATAAAAGAATGAAACGCATAGAAAAAATGCTACATACACATTATTTATATGTTCACGGCGAAGATCGGCTTCTGTACGATATTCAACAATTTCGATGCCTTGAAAATGATTCATCAAGTAGCGTTTCATCATATCCTGAAGGTTTTGATCTAAACTGCATCTTCACAAAACGGTCAATGTAAGAAAAAAAACGCAACAGCCTTTAAGTATAACTGTTTAAAAAGATTTGAAGAACGTAAGATTAAGCGTGTATTGTGCGTGTAGCCGTTCGGTACATGTTTTTGATAATTGCTTTTTTCATAAAAACACAATACAATACAACGCTAGCTGACGTTTCGGCAGTATCGCCTTCTTCAGAGCCTGGAAGGGTATACAATCTACTAGGCCAAACGCTTCAATAACACTTACACAAAGACGAAAGACTCTTTGGTAATTACACGATCAACAACTTCCCGTATAATTTGATAGTAGATTGTATATCAGTATACCCTTCCAGGCTCTGAAGAAGGCGATACTGCCGAAACGTCAGCTAGCGTTGTATTGTATTGTGTTTTTATGGAAGTAAATGTATGCTGTTTAAAAACCTCGCGATTGCTGAACAAGAAAACGACACATTCATACTCCAATGCCGAGGTTAAGAGAAAGTCGATCCTGGGAACTATTGCTTTTTTCATTTGTGAAGGAGGTAGTGAACTAGTATATTTTTACTACTTGGCTTACGGTACCATAAATTTCAAAAATCCAAAGGTGAACCGGAAAGACGAACACCTCACTAACACACGTGACCTGGCCCCTTATTTCAAATGATACTTTACCCCTTGGTGTGTCTTGCTTGCGACCCTGCGTGAACTACGCGCGGGCCAGTCCCACTCGTAACATAACGGTGGGTAGCTTTTTTGATCAATATGGCATCTTAACCTTTTTATTTACTGCCTACTATAATTTTGCACGGCAGGGTGTCATGTGAAATACAACTAAGGTGATGCTGAGATATTTGCAAAACTCCGGACCGCAGGCGTTTGCAGTGGGTAACGAACGCGCTATTGTCCTTTCTTGGGAGTAAAGCGTTCACCACCACACCATGCGGCTCCTTCGTTTCGCCTGTCTCTCAGCTAGTCCTATTGATCGGCGGAGTTTTGCAGATATGGCGTCTATTGAAAAGTTTCAACTTCATTGATCCTTTAGTCTTTTTCCACCGAATAATTGGAGCATTCTTGTATAAAATACGTCCAGACCCTGAGGAAGCGAAATCGGCGAAGCATCAGTTCAGCCATCGATCAACAACACAAACAGCAACGACAACAACAACAACAACGACAACGACAACGAAAACCTATACCAACCTCGCATCAGCTTAAGAAGATCAGTTTATGAGATCGTATAAATAGATATTAACGGTTTAAAAGAGATTTGAAGAACGTAAGATTAAGTGTGTATTTGTACGTGTAGCGTACTGGTTAGAAGTGTCGACCAACGAACATTTCGTAGATGTTTCAACACAACACCGGCCAACCAAGCTTAATTTTCTTTTGGAACGGCCAGTTTATAGCAAATCTGTTTTGTAGAAGGCTCTATTGCTCACTAATGCCAGCAATTTTTCGGGGAATATCTGAGAAAATTTGGCAGAGATATCCTGTGGTCCCACAGAGAATTACACTTCGCCACCATTCAACGCTATTCGTGAAGACCAAAAATCTTCACGTCGCACGCAAATCCAAAAATAATGGACCCAACATAACGAATGGAGTGAGGGAAGTGACATGTATACATATATATATATATATATATATATATATATATATGCATATGCAAACGAAAAAGCATCCGACGTCCGACCATCCTTTAGGCAAGCACATTGCATTCAACTCCCTTCGTAGCTTTGCAAGCTTGACAGAATGCATATTTGGCCCAGAGAGTGACTGGAGCAGATTTTCGAATTATGAAATCAGGGTATTTAGCCTCCCGGGCAAGCCTAATACCAATCTGTCGGCCCCAGTGGATTAAATGCTCTAAGTCGTGTGGTCGAACCACTAATAATATTTATTGTATGATATCTCTAGCCACTAGATTATACATGCCTATATGTCACATGTGGTTCTATGGATATGGTGTCAAAACTACAACTTTCCCTATTGTTTAATTATTTTTATTTTGACTGAATAGTAGGACATTTTACCTTTCCATGTAAATACGAAATTGGAAAATATCGATTACTACCAAGCATTCGGTTCATTCAGTGACTAGATATATATACATATACATATATATATAGATATAATATATATACATATGCATGTATGCACATATATATATATACATATATATCGATCAACAGATCGATTCCATTGGATATTAGTTGCTTAACAAACTTACGTCACCAGTTCTCGGGTAAGCATCACGCATCCAACTTCCATAGTAGGTGGTGGCATGTGAGTGAAACACTGGCCTGCCGACCGATTGTAATTTACAGTCTGAACACAGAACCATTTTAATGAACACAAAGAAACACTCCGAAGAGTCTAAAAGTCGATATTAGACAAACGTGCTACTGCTCCTTCTATGTAGGCCGATTCTGTAGACGTTTCGATTATCTCTTGTTCAAATTCTTCAGTCACATTGCCGAGGCAAATTTTTAGACATGTCTCCACATCAGTGTTGTTGAGAATCATCTAAAAATTTTCAAAGTTTCTTTCTTTGAAAGCTTTCCCGCGTTAGATTTTTTAAATTATTGTAATTTGTAGAAATGTATTTGCAATGAAGCTTAACAGTTCCGACAAAAAAACTCATGAATATGTGGTTCTCCATATTTCATGTTTTCTCTGGATTTTTTTTTCATCCAACAGATTTTCGTAGTATAGGTGTGCTGTCTGCAATCACAGACTTTTAACAGTCTTGGACGGCGACTAATTTCCAAACTTTATGGACTTACAGGATTTTTTGATAACATACAGTAATTTCTTGATAACTAGAAAACTTCGTGTGTTGTGAACATTAATGGATTGTAGAAGATACTTTGTTCCTAAGAGACGTAGGTAGCGCAGTGACTAGAGGCGCCCTCCATAGGATCGATCATCACGCCCGTGGATCGCCAAGCTTTCCATTCCTCCAGGGTGGAAAAATTGGTACCAGACTTGTCTGGGAAGGTAACAGCACTGGCTTGATACATCGGTATGCGGCTGCGAGTCATTGTAAGGACCAGATATGCATTCAGTCACCTCCAAACGATGCTTAATGAACTCGAATGCATGGCGCATCCTTCAGCCATTGATCAGCCCCTAGAGCTTTTATCTTTTTATTGCTGAATGTCTTAAACCTTGCATTTTGAGAGGTAGCTTGTGAATTTCTTCGCCATCATTTTGATGGGGAATGATACTCAGGTGTTCAAGTCTGATGCTGTCTGGATCAGGTTTTGTTTAAGTCTTAACCAAAGAAGTAGCATGTCGAATTTCGCAAAGGAGAACGGGTGAGACGATACATATCCATTCTCGTTTATTTCGTATGAGAGCAGGAGGACGCGGCTATTGAAGAGATCCGAGTAGTAGTCGCAAATAATTTTCTTTATTCACTTTCTGAAGGTGTAATTGTTCTGTCTGCGAATCGGCTTGCAATCATCTCAGTCTTAATTTTGGCGGGGTTTCAGTAGCCTTTACGAATACTTTTCTAGCTTCTGCGATCTCGGCCATATCTTCCGTTTTTCTATGCTAAGTTCTTAATTTATTGCCTGTCTGCTTTGTCATGAGATTCCACGTTGCCATATCAACTCAAGTGTTTCTGGAGACAAATGTTTATTTGCAACTTTCCATCTCAGCCTTCATAGCACCAACGTAACGATGTTGAATGAGCCGATCATATTTCTCGTCGATTTTATCAATAACAGCATTTTACCAAAAACATAATAGTGACCTAACGAAGTCCTAAACTAACTCAACGAATTTGCGGTAGTTTTAGGATTTCATTTTTTGAACTTAGCGGCCTTCTATCCTTTACGCAACAAACGGCGCGAAGGAGACGATGTTGTGGTCCCTTGTAGAATTTTGGGACAAAATTGACATCTTAACCTTTTTATTTACTGCCTACTCTTTTTAATGGCAGGGTATATTGCGAAATATAACTTCAATGAAGCTGAGATATTTGCAAAGCTCTGGACCGCAGATGTCTGCGGTGGGGAACGAACGCGCTATTATCCTTTCCGGGGAGTAACGCGTTCACCACCACACCATGCGGGTCCTTCGTTTCGCCTGTCTCTCAGCTAGTTCTTCTGATTTTTTGCCATCAGCAATCACTCCACGGAAAGGATAATAGAGCGTTCGTTCCCATCCGTAAACACCTGCGGACCGGAGTTTTGCAAATATCTTAGCTTCATTGAGGTTATATTTCGCAATATACCCTGCCAATGAAAAAAGTAGGCAGTAAATAGAAAGGTTAAGATTGTGATTATAAATATAGCCCTGGCTTAACTGCGTTCAATGCCGATTTGGGTTCCCCAGATCAATTCCGTTGACGGGTGATTGCTGATGGTAAAAGATCTATAGAACTAGCTGAGAGACAGGCGAAACGAAGGACCCGCACGGTGTGGTGGTGAACGCGTTACTCCCCGGAAAGGACAACGTATTGATGGAAAATTCCTATCAAACCATCGTTTTGCCGACAACATTGTCATCTTTTCAAGAGGTGGTAACGAAGCAGAGGTGATGATCAACGAGCTCAACGAAGCGGGGAAAAGATAGGACTTCGCATAAATCGAAAGAAGACCCAGTTCATGAAAAACCCATGGTGCGAAAGCGGAAAAATTGAATTGGATGGCTCTCTCATTGTAGAGGCTACTTCGTACGTTTACCTTGGGCGATCAGTGAACATGGAAAACAATATGAAAGAGGAACTAGATAGAAGAAGGAGAGCAGCTTGGGCCGCATTCAGGCCTCTCAATGAAGCCACCGACCAACTGAAGGACCCGAAAATCTGCGCTAATCTTATTGATTCTACGGTCCTCCCAGCGCTCTGTTATGCTGCAGAGACGTGGGTTGATACTTCAACTACGTCAACAGTGCTTCGAACTACTCACAGAGCGCTTGAGCAATGTCTTCTAAAACATAATCGGCACTCTCAATATGTAGCCGGAATGCGAAACTTTAACCTTCGAAATATGTCACATCTTCGAGATCCAGGAGAATATACATTGACAGCTAAACATAGATGGACTAGTCATATAATGAGAAGAACAGACGACAGATGGACGAAAAGAACAATAGAGTGGGCTCCAAGAGAATGCAAACGTCGACGACCACCTACACGTTGGGCGGACGTGTTCGTAAGCAAAGTTAATCAGCTGTACCCGCAACTGTAGTTATTTTACAGATCACGGTATGAGACTCGCTAGCGCTACGATGCTCGAACAAGACCACCACAACGGACTACGATTGTGAGAGAAAGGAGCGAATGGCATATGTGCTGGGTCCGCACAGCTCGTGAAGACGGACCGTCTAAGTATCCAAGTAAGTAAGTGTTTAATCTTAGGCTAAACAATGGGCTCGGTTTAGTTTGACATTGTGAGAAGTCGGATCTTCTTTGGTAATATCGGCGGGGATACAGAAGGTTTACTGGTACGTGCTCGAGTCAATCGACGCTCAGTTGGACGACGAGTTATACAAATAATGGACGACAGGGGTTATACAAATGGCATGTGGAAGCATTTCAGCAAGAACTAGCATAACAATAGAATAAATATAACACTTGTAGTAGTAGCAGTGGTAAGAGTGAAGGAAAATCGAGTGATTTTTTATTCTTCGGGAAATTTGAGACTTAAATGAAATCGATTATGAAGCGTTGTATTTATGGAATACTCTTCCAATACGTTATCACAATTTAATCAGTGGTTCCTCCTAGAAGAACAGCTGTCTTGGGCTATCATATTAATTATAAGGTCGTTTTTTCTTTTTTTCTTTTCTTTAACTTAACCTTTTTCTTTAACCGAGAGTTTTTTCTTGTCTTACCTGGGAGATCCAAGAGGGTAAACCACGATCAATAATTCTCGGACCAACGATGTTTTCCGTTGACGTCCTTTCTGTGCATTTCATCTCCTCCACCTAAATGACATAGTTTTTAGAAAATGCAGTGGAAAATTCTAGAATTGAAATAAGGAGAGCTAGAAATTTTTTGCGGCATACTGTTGGGCATTGGAGGGATTTTTGTACGAGGTATGCTTCATTGATTGGACATTGACTACAGTCAGCGTCTTTTCCAGCTGGACCTGGTGGTCCTGGAAGTGTCGTACTGGATTTAAGGTAAAAGAAATAATATGATTACATATATGAATATGATTGATATGATTACAATATGCAAGGAAAGCGAAAATGATAATATATTTTTTGTTCGTTCACCTTGAGGACCCGGCAAACCTGGTACTCCCATCAAACCGACCCGTCCAGCTGGTCCAGGCGCACCGATTTTACTGGAATTCATAAGATACTTGCCGAAATAAAAAGTATTTCTATTGGATTTGTAAGGAAAGAGTAGCAAAATATCACTAGACTTACCCGGGAGGTCCCCGTGGACCAGGTGGTCCTGGTGGACCACGATCTGAACTATCCAAATTCGTACAGTATTGATGTATGTCCAGACATTTCTCCACTAATTCACGAGCCTAGGAAAAATCGCTAGGTTGATTATGTTTGTAAGGAGCTCTTATACTGATATAAAATAATGAATATTCAAGTAGATCAAGAGCTTCTAAAGTTTTGCTGGTACTGTCTGCGAAAAAAACGTGTGCGGGAAGATTTGAAACGAAAGGCGCTGTAAATATTATTGCAATACAACAATACAGTAACACTGGGGCTGAATAATTTTTCTGGTGGTAACCAATTAAAAGGAGAGAAGAGTTGGAAGATGTATTGAACATTAAGAAATAAGCAAAAAGTCTTTGAGAATTTGGAAAAATGATCGAAGAAGTAAGAAGAGACCTTGATTCTGGACATCGACGACATCCATAGATGATTCCCATTCCTAGTCTTATTTATGAGACCATTTATTTGTCGTTTGTGACGATGATCAACAGATTCGGTTTCCATTGCCTCTCGTCGTTGGCAACGAACTTCGATCTCCGCAATTCTGCAGATATAGACATTTCACTGGCCGTTGTTGATCAATGAAGGAGGAAGAAAATAAAACCGAAGAGGAAACCTTAATGTCGGATTTCAATAGCCTACTTCAGCCTTTTTTCGAGCGTAACAAGTAGTATTCATTTAGCGCTGCTGAATTAGAAAGCGAGAATACAGCAAGAAAACGTTATTTCCTCTGCAATGTGTTCCGTTTAGAGTAGAAGGTTATGTCATTATATTAAGCAGACACTCTAAATTCAATGAATTTTACAAGAAATCAATGCTGCTTTTTTAACCTACAAATGAGAACAGGAATTTAACGGCTGACCATCGTCTGAATCGTGCTTTTCATTGAGTAACTCATCAGCAGAGCAGTAAGGTCTTCTCTCGTCTCTGTTGTGTTTCAGATTGGTCCAAGTGGGCCGCATTTGGCCAAAGCACACGAGAGATACCATATTTTGGGTTATGAATTCTTTATTATTTTGCTTTTAGTAGGACGATAGCCACCACTTTGTGTTCGGGCCATAATTTGACGGAATGTTCAGTCGTAGGTCCACTGTCGGTGTATCCAACTCAAGTGACTTTGTTGCATATCGGAGTTGGAATTCATGTACAACGTGAAATCACGATGAGGCACTAAGTGATTAAGGGGCTCAGTCCATTAAACAGTTTGCTAGTTGGAATTGCTTAAATGTACTTCTCCCCCTTATTTTTTTTCACATTTTCCTAACCGCAGTTATGCCGGCCTATTCTGTACTTTAATGGTAGAATTCGTATCATCTATATCTAATACTTCTCTTAAGCCGCTTGCAGTCTTCGCCTGCATAAAACCCGTTCGGAAACACCATCGATTCTAACAAAATATTTAAGGTCATTCGTTTTCATTCTCATTCTTTTTGTCCATAACTTCATCGAAATTTTTGCACTATTTGTTCATCCACTTGTGGCAAAAATAAAATAAAAAATATGGGTAGTGTTGAGAACAGTTGGAGATGAACAAGGAAGTCCACACCCGTTATCATTGTCCAAACACCCAAATTTGAATCATTCACTGTACTGTGGATCGATCGAACAGTATTAAATATATTGGCCACGACCGACTTTCTATTAACCTCGGCATTGATCAAGTGATCTTGTTCGTATTTTCCCTGAGCAAACGCGAAGTGTTACTGTTCTTTGTTCACGATTAAGCTGACGTTTCGGCGGATTTCGCCTTCTTCAGAGCCTGGAAAGGTCAAGTTGATAGCAACTCACTCGGCCAGACGCCTCCATAACCAAACAAAGAAACCCCAAACCAAGATTTCAATCACTTTGAACACAGCTTTGCACACTCACCGCTTTCTATGAGGTCTCCACTAAGTATGTCACGTAGAGACCAACCGCACAGAAATCACGTGGAAGTATAATGTGCCCCTCACATCAGAAAAGCAGTTTTATATACTGCCCTATATCACGCGTGATAATGAGACATTCTTCCCTGCGGTTCATTTTCGGATTTCTGGAATTAATCCAGAGTGCCTCGAGGGTTTTTCGCGCCTGTGTTCTCGATTCGCGTGCGAGGATCGTCACACTTACTTAGGAATAAAACTAAATATTTTGGGCTTGTCTGGGAATAACTCCCTCCAATCCGCTAACGATAGTGAATTTTCGTGGAGTGACCTGAGAACGCCCTAGCATAGATATCTCACGATGCATGAGAGAATTTATTCGACAATCATAAAAATGACCAAAGATCCTTATTCAGCAGCCGAAGCGACATGCAAGCCTAAAGGCATTCGCAAATTATGCAATGGAACGAACCAAATGAGAAGAAAAGCTCTGGATTAGAACAATGGGTAGTGTTGAGACATTCCTCCTAACGGTTTACCGCCTCATCGTGGCTGGGAGGCATTTCCGGGTGGTAGACTGCGATGTAAAAAGGGGGATTCGTCTTCCCGACAGGGTCTCCTAAGCTGAGAAGGAGTGCGGCGTTTTCATCGGGAAGCCTAGCTAAGAGTAAACCAATGCCAGGATCCGCCAAACTAGTCGCATGGTGGCAAATCTCTATACGATTTACAAAGGCGGAGACCTGGGGAAGACTTTGGCCAGGCTGAGTTCGGGACTCCAAGGAACCATAATGGCTTAACTAACAAATCTCAGTTAAACGGTGATTGTGCTGGGGCCCGCACAACTAGTGAGGAAGAGCCGTTCAAGTTTCAAGTGTCAAGTGTTGAGACATTAAAAAAACAATGTTGAAAAAATCGGGTACTTAAATGTCAAGATAATGTCAATTCGGCACTAACTTCCTTAAGTTTTTCTTATACCTTGTCTTTTGTACAACTCAAATTCTCATTTAGCTCTTGATTTTGAGTCATAGTACTTCGACGAGTACAACGAGTAGCTTGAGGTGACATACAATACATAAATTGCAGCTGGTTCAATCCCGTGTCGCGATCCGGCTAACCATGTCCTCTCTCCCCCATCCCTTTAAAGTTGGAAAATTACTGCTGTACATGGCCGGAAGGTTAAAAATAGTGACATACAACATCAGTAGGAGCTTGCAAAACCACTGCACAAGTATGCAATCAATCACCTCAACATTGCTACGAATGAAGTCGAATACAAGCGGCATAGTTGAGGAATCGGTTGACGCCGAACCTTTTTTCTATATGGATACAATGCGCTTGAGAAAAACTCGAGAAAATAAGCTCTGATTTACCCAATATTTGATATCGAACCAACCTCATATGAATGTGGGCGAATGCGACGACGGTGAGAAAAGCGAGGCTAACATTCACCGCATGGATGCGCCAGCATTCCATGGCTGGCCACGGACGTAATACTATCGCCATAAACACTAACTAGCAGGCGTGTCATCCTTTTCCACAAGCCATGAAACTACCAGCAAGGCTCTGTAGAACGTGAAGCATGTGTTGACCACTGGATTTTCCAATGCGAGTACTTTTATTTCGACCATTTTTGGCCGAAGTAGCGTATTTACGGAAAATTTACCAATCCTTGTTGCAAAGGCTGTGTATACTAATGGCTAGCTTGTCGAGCTTTCTTATAGTAGATGTGCGGTTTACTCGTTCTAGTTGATTACAAATCTTCTATAGAGGTTTTCCTATTACTTCAACACTTCTGGACTCTAGTTGAATCGACTGCATGGTAGAATCACCACATATATCACAACAACATACCACTAGTTTAAAAAAATTCAACGCTGTTCAGCGGATCCTGCTCATTTGTGGAACATGAATAACGCCATACTTTTATAGCACGAAACCCCTCTCACCTTTAACGTTAGTGTCATCACGAATAGTCTACTTACCTCCTCAGAATGGTTGCGAAGTTTCTTTGATGTTGACAACTACGAATGATCTCCTGTTCACTATTCAATAATTTTTATACTTCTGATTTTTAACTGAATCGATGTGAGTGATTCAATTCGCCTGCACACAGGTAGACCAATTAAGCAGAAAATCCGAACACATGTACATCATGCGCATCCAGATTCAAAAACTATTCTATAAGTGATGGGCGCGTGTGGAGCAGTGGATGTAGCCACCACTGCAACACACGTGGGTCGATTCCCGTACACGTCGGCTCACCAAGCTTTCCATCCCTCCGGGGTCGGCAAATTGTTATCAGACTTGTCTGGGAGGATGGCAGCACTGGCTTGATACATCTGTAGGCCAGCGCGAGTCATTGTAAAGGCCAGGTATGCATTCAGTCACCTCCAACGATACTTAATGAAGTCGAATGCATGGCGCATCCTTCAAAGATTGATCAACGCCGAGAGCTTTATCCTTTTTCTTTTCTAGGTGATAAATCTTTCTTGAATGCACAAGAACACTCTGGAGGATATCAAGACTAACACTCCAGACTGCGCAAAGAACGTCTTTCTTCGAGCGAAAAATTGCATGTCAAATGGATGAAAATCTGTGATAGTTGCTGCACTGTATCATTCTTTGTGAAGAAGAGCTATTGAAGTACTAACAGCGTATAGGGGAAGGTGCTGGTTAATCCGGTACTGCAGAAACAAAAAGTTTATTTCATGAGTCCGATGGAATTTTACTGCGAATATACATAAACGTTTCCCTTTCAGATCAACTTCCAGCCCCGGTATGTTCCATTTTGAAAGTGCAATAACGAATACGTTTCGCGACCCAGTTATCTAGAATAAGAATGCGTTTTGCATAGCAACAATGGATCAATAGGAAGGAATGAATAAAAAAGTGATATTTTTTCTTATTTGCTTTGCTGCCTACTACAATTTTTCACGGCGAGGTCTTATGTGAAATACAACCACAATGATGCCGAGATATTTGCAAAACTTGGATCCCAGCCAATATCAAACTTCGATTACCCTTCCCTGGGGATCCCGCATTACACTGGGGCGCGTGTGATGCACTGGTCGAAGGCACAGTGCTATACAAATGGAATAAATTCCCTATGCATTCAATCACCTCCAAACGATGCTTAATGAAGTCGAATGCATGGCCCATCCCTAAAGGATTGATCAATGCTGCAAGCTTTATTCTTTACCCTTTGTGTATTGCGCAAAGCACCACTAAAGGTCTTCCATTGGATTTGTCTCAGCCAGTTTTCCATCTCAAGGTGCAGAATATTTTACAAAACAGCCATAGATGTCCCTCACAGAGAGATCTCATGCCGGTAATATCGAGGTAACCTGGCGCTTCCTCACATCGTGGACGAGGGGTTAATCGCAGACCAAAAGCGACCTGTGCACCGGCTTTGATAATCTTCGTTTCTCACGCAGCGACATCAAACTATGACGATAGCAAAGTCGAAGAGTTCTATATGGATTTGGAAAAGTTCTATAGGAAAGACGGTTCATTCTTCAAGGTCATCGTTAGAGATTTTTACGCTGAGATCGGACCCAGAAGAACGTCTGAAGAACGTCACATTTGCGACCTACGGACCGGAATTGAGCGATCAGAGTGAACGGCTGTCTGTGTCATCACGTCCAAGACAATTCATGGCAAGTGGGAATTCTGGGAGCCCCACCCTCAACCCTGGACGTGTGAATATCTCAATGGAGAGTTCCACAACAAATACACCACATTATGCGAAATTGATGCTTCTACCCGATCGATGTCGTCGTTGCCCCAAACATCTACACGCGATGAAACCATTGACTTCTTCGTGCAAAATTTCAATTATTGTGGAAAAGAGAAAGAGCCTCTAAATTCAAAACACGAAGTCCCAAAATCACTATAAACTAGAATTTATTCATTAGTCTGCTATTGGGAAGATGCCATTCATAATAACATCGATGAAGAATACTATCGCCCCACTCAACATATTCACGGTAGCATCGTGAAAGCTTAGAGTTCGAAAGTCATCAAGGGATGTCTGCCTTCAGAAACACTCCAGCTGGTACGCCAGCGTGGAATTGCACGAGCAACAGTCAACCGCCAACTCGCGTCCGAGTTGCAAAGCAATTTATAAGGGTGTAAAAGATTATCTCAAGAAGAAAAAAGAGGCAGTTATATTCGAAGGTGCATAGGCTGGAGAAAGTGTTCACAAAATCCACCAAAACTTCCCCAATTACAAAATCAAAATGACTGCGCTCCGGCGCCCAGGCGAAATAGCTACAGCTTCTAGAAAGACAATGGAGAAAATCATTCACGATTACTACTCGGAGGTCTTAAATAGCTACGTCCTCCCGCACTCATTCAAAATAAAGGAGGATAGATATGTCGTCTGTTACAAAAACTGATACGTTCTTTCGTCGATGAAAAATCGAGCAGCACCAGTCCAGACAGGGTAGGATCGAAACAACTGAAAAACCTCACGCTAGTCCTCATAAACACATTGGCTCGGTTCTTTGCATACCTGTTAGAATGCCAGGTTCCTGCTTAATGGGAGACCTGAAAGACTGTACTGTTGTTCAAAAAGGGTGCCCTCTACGACATCAGCAACTTTCGCTCAATATTCTTGCTTTCTGTCGTCTGTAAACTTTTCACTCAAGACGTCCCAAGCAAGGTTGATAGAACACACACTGGACGAAGGGCAGCCATGTCAGCAAGTAGAGTTTCGAAAAGGATTTAGTATGATGGACCGCATCCACACAGTAACATGATATTGAAGTATCGCGAGAGTACAAAAGACCGGTCTGTCTAACTTTCATCGATTTACAGAAAGCTTTTGATTCAGTTGAGATAGAAGCAGTCTTGGAAGCCCTTGATAGTCAGGGAGTCCCTACTCAGTCCGTAAAGATTCTTCGTGAGCTGTACAAAAATTTCACAACCAAGGTATCACCATTCTACAACGATATTAACATCGAGGTCAAAAGTGGGTTAGGCAAGGCGATGCGATCACGCCAAACTTGTTTATGCCACTTTCGAGAACTTCAGGCGAACATTATTGAAATGAGAAAACATGGGTGTGATAATCGATGGTCGGAAATTACTACACCATCTTCGTTTTGTAGAGGACATCGTTCTTATAACAACAAGCATTAGCTAGGGAACAAATGCTTGTTGATTTTGGTGAAACATGTGGAAAGATTGGTTCTCGATTAGATATCACAGAAACGATGTTCATGAAGGATTGGTTACGTGTGCCTCATTTACGCTCAACAGAATGAATATCTTTGAATGCAACAGTTAAGTCTACCTAGGTCGGGAAATCAATACGTTGAAAGACATATCTTCTGAGTGAACAGAAAGAAGCGAGCGGCTTGGGGCTCTTTCAAGGACATCGAGTATGAAGTGAAGAGAACAAAGAATGTCCTATTCCTTGCTCGCCTTTTCGATTCCACAATTCTTCCTGCTTCAACGTATCCGCCAGAAACCTGGTCAAGTTTGGAGTATCCTGTATCACGAAGGAGAGGATCCCTAACTCCGAACTACCTTCAATGATTAAAAATGAAATATAAGCTGAACCGGACACAAAATACGTGTAAGCGATAAAGAATAGCCATGAGCCGTTAGCGAATGGATTCCTTGGGATATCAAATTCAGGGATGAAAAATCACCCACCCAATAGTTTGCGTTCTTCACTAAAACGCTAGAAAGAGATGTGATGCTCAACGAGTGCCTTGAGCGAGCAGAACGCAGTGGGCAACACTTTTACGCAGTAAGGAAAAGTGGAAAACTTCCTTTGGCCCCCTCGAATTACTCGACGATCAAAGGAGCGACGGTGTGATGCATAATGATTGATAAACAATGCCTGGTTTTTTTTCAACAATCTATTCAGTGCTAACAACCACCACCGTCTTGGTGTCAAAGTCGTATGGTGGCAAATCTCCCTCCTCTCCATAAGAGTGGCGAATGCCTGTGGTGATGACGATCCGAGGCACACTTGAGCCAGGGTGACCTCGGAATTCCAGGCAACCGCAATTGCTTAACCAGCAAATCTCCGAAAAATGGATACTAAGCTGGGTCCCGCACAACCAATGAGGACGGGCCATTCAAGTATCAAGTATCAAGTAAGATCTACTCAATACGAATCACCTAAGCTTCGAAACGTTAGTCGATTATATTTGTGAATGAAATTCGTGCTATTACATCAATGCAAGAAAAACATACATTAAATAAAAAAGGCTTTTTTCTTCATATCTTAAACAGAAAAACATAGAGATACGTTTTATTGTAATCTATTCCAGACATGTGCATGAAGAGATCGAAAGACACTGCGATCCAGCTTCGAGTCCTTTCTGGATATTCACAGCACCCATATCCTGAATAAAAAATAAAAACGTCTCTTGTTTTTTCTACATTCTTTTCTTGTTCACATATTAAATCAACCAGCGAAAAGAAAAAAACTCCACATAGAGATTCTTGTCATCATGCCATCATTACTCTGTGTTACCGTAATCAATGTCTCCTACCTCTTTTTTCTTCGTCAATATTTACCGTGTTCACGCATTATAATCATGAATAGACGAAATTTTAACGACATTTAATAATTAATAGCAACAATAGCAGCAAAACTTCCAACGGTTTACCACCTCATCGTGGCTGGTAGGTGTTCCTGGGTGTGGGACTGAGATGTACATCAGGGGGATTCGTTCCCCCGGTAGGTTCTCCCAAACTGAGGCCCGCACAACTAGTGAGAACGAGCTGTTCAAGTATCAAGTAATAGCAATAAATAAATGGGGTGGATAGCACAGTGGTAGTGATGTCAGTCATCACGAGCATAGTACTAGTTCAATTCTGTTCCAAACTCACCAAGCATCTCATTCCTCCGAGGTCGGAAAGGTTGGTACCGGAGTTGTCTGGGAAAAAAACTCATTCTCTGCAATCTAGTTGGAAGCGCTTCTATCTGGCTTTCTCAGGACTCAAGGAAGAATCGAGTCGGCATGCAGTCTACGACATTCAAGGTGAAATAGAATCTTCAAGCAGTAGCCAAAGGCATACGTAAAAGTTGGGAGATCCTCGTGGATGACGGATGCGAAGAAACGAATCGAATGTGAGAAGTGCTGATATCCGCACAGTAAGCGTAAAGATGGGTGATATACAAATTAAAAAATAGTAATAAATGGAAGTGGTTATTGTGGTAAAGTGAGCAGGAAGTGCCACGCGTGCTATATGCATGCTTTTAGTTCGACCCCTTGCACTGCCGACTAGGTCTCCTTACACAGCACTCCAAGGTTGCAAAACTGCTCGGCAATACCACCAAACTTCACTGTTCGAATTTTTCTCCGATCCATAACGTTCGGAGAGTGCCCCTTGGTGATGTCGTGTATGCGCTCTAAGGGATGTCACAGGATTCTAAATAGTAGAATCAAGTCAACCGGCATTAAACGACATTCGAAATATGGAAGCGGAACGGACACCTAGACCCAACGATGACCACAGAATACGGAATGTAAGAGAGAGAACCAAATGAAAGCGCTTTGATATAGACAGTTATTGGAGTGGTTGCATAAATAAATAAAACAATAACAACGTACAAAACCACCGAATCAGTGGACTAATAAGGTCTGCTAATGCGGCCGACTGTACGTACGTTAAGTAGACGAGCTTCACAGTATGGCGCTTTGACTACGTTAATTTCTAGTTTGCTTGGATCCTTTCCGTCATATTTGTCGAGCTGCATCAAATCTGTTATACCAGCAGCCGTTACCGACGAAAACGCGTAGGCCATTTCGATCTGAAAACGCTATCGCACTCGTCGGTGATCGAAAGACATTCGAACGACTTGTTCATATAATTGATAAGCCTGGATGGCTTGTTTATATGTAATATTAGGTTCCAACATATAAAATGTCTGATTTTATTGTTTTAAGCTTCGTATAACTTTTTAAATAAAAATTTTGTCCCTTAAAAAGGTTTAATACAAATTTTTAAAGCGCAAAATCCGCTCTTTTCATGCTCAGTATTGGTTATCTTCAAGGCATATTATTTTAACATTTTTATAGGCTTTATCCTACGTATGAATCAACGTGATATTCGTGATCTTCTTTATACGAGTGGGAGAGTGGACACAATGTCGCGGAAGGGGTTCGGAATATCATCAGGTTTGGAGTGAAGGTAGTGTTGGTGAATCAACAGTGCGAACATGGTCCTGGAGATTCCGATCTAGTGATTTCGACTCCTCAGAGTTAGAGAAGGTCGCGGACGCCTCAAGGAACTTCACGATGCCGAATTGAAGGAACTAGTGAAAGCAAACACGCGAACAACTGTTCGAGAGCTTGCAGAACAGCTTGGCGTAAGCACAGGAATAATTTCCAATCACTTGAATGGCATAGGAAAGACAAAAAAGCTTAAGACAAGTAGATACCGTACGAATTAAACGATAGTCAAAAAAGTCGCAGTTTTGAAGTTTCATCTGCTCTTATTCAGCGCAACAGAAACGACCCTTTTCTCGAACGAATTGTGACATGCGACGAGAACTAGGATGGATTGCCACAAGGCTCCACAGCACTTCCCAAGCCGAAATTGCACCAAAAAAAAGTAATGGGGGCTATTTGGTGGTCTGCAGCTGGGCTGATTCATGACAGCTTTTGAATCCGGGCGAAACGACAACAGGAGAAAGTATTGCCAACAAATCGACGAAACTCACCGTAAACTCTAAAAACAATCGGCATTAGTGAATAGAAAAGGACCAGTACGTCTCCACGACAACACCCGGCCTCAGTTTGTAGAACCAGCTCTGCAGAAGTTGAACGAGTTGGCCTACGAAACTTAGCCTCATCCACTATGTTCAATTGACCTCTCGCCAACCGACTACCACTTCTTGGCCAACATCTTGATAACTTCCCGGGCGAGAAATGCTTTACCAACCACGATAACGTAAAAAGTGCCTTCAGCGAATTCATCGCTTCCAGAACTCCAAAATTTTAAGCAACTACAATAAATAACTTGTTTCTTGTTTGAAAAAATGTGCTTGTTACAATGAGGGTTATTGCGATTAATAAAAATCAGTATGAAAACAGTTATGGTTATTTAAAGTTTACATTTAAAATCAGACACTTTATACGTTAGAATATAACATTTCTGTGGAACGAATGAGAAAAAAAAAGCATTTATTTATGTCACTGACAATGCGGATGCCACATAAGGTGGCACGATTGTCAGCTATACATCGCACCAAGGTTTGCCGTTTCCTTCCCTTTTACTTTCTTACCACAATCCTTTATCACTTCTTTTTCTATCCGAATAAAAAAAGTGCTCTGGATAAGTAACGACATGCCACCTTGGCCGCACTCTATTGTATGTCTCCATCATTCTACGACAAACGAAAATCGCTTCATAAGGAAAAAAAATCCTAAACAGGCCCATTTTGGCCAACTATTTTAGCTGTTTGCTGTAGATGGTTTCGAATGTAGTTGGTTCTTCTGGTAATCGTAGATGGTGAACTATTTCTAACAGCTAATAACTAGACATCTAATGCTTACTGCTTTATGTCCAATCAAAAAGTTAATGCGAATAGGGTCCAACTCTTTGAACTCAACTCCGATAGGTCGAGCGTTATCTGAATATAAACAATGATAACTTAACAAATAAGGAAGATCGATGGAAAAGCAATAATTTCTTCTAATAAATCAATAGAAAACCTAAAGGCACATGTAATGAAGAGAATTACGGCTATTTTCGTGCCAACATCTTCTCTTAAACGTGTTGATTCGGGTTAGTTTCATGGCTTTCCAGAGATTATGGCTAAGAATAACATCGCTGTGAAGCAATAAAATCGTTCTGAAGCCAAAGTTGGACAGACTGTTATTTGGTTAAGTACACATTTGTAAGGAAGACTGGTATGTATGCGTCGACGTGTGTAGGGATGTACATCTGTATGTAGACTATTTGCAGATTTGTGATGTCTAGGGACGATGGGACGTTTGTAGCACAGTGGTTGGTGATGGACCTCCTTACAGGTTTGGTTTTTGGTTCGATTCAGCAGCCTATGCTAACCAAAATCTCCATTCCCGTGGAGTTGGTCTCAAACATGCATGGGAGGAGAAAAAACTCCTAAATGGCCTCTTGTTACTAGGTCCAGGTAATTCATTGAATTTTCCGACTACGTATCCAATCATTTCCACGACGCTATGAATGGAAATAAATGATTGATGTATCTCTCAGGTATTAATTAACATCGAACGCTTTATATTTTTCCACCCTGTGATATCTAGTAGGCTACAAATGGATACACTCAGTGCGCATACCTGAATCAGTAGGAATGTAGACGTCATGGACAAAAATTAGCGCCAATGTGTTAGCATCGCTTTCACAGAATTTCCCCTCATCGTCAAAACATAACCTCATCCTACAGGAGAAAAAAACTTATTCATTAAGAATTTTAATTGGAAAAACTGTAAGAAATAGAATATTGTAAGAGAAAGACTTTCCAGAATGAAAAAGAGAACAAAACAAAATGCACGAATGTTTTGTGATGTACGGAAAAAGTAACTTTTTTTCATGTCAACCCAGTAATGTCTCTCCTTATCCATTCAGCTTAAACGCTCAATTTTCACGTTATCGATTTTCTTCCTTTACAAACATCTCAGCTCTACGGTGATCGAACTACGACCATCTCTTATCTTATCATCTACGATGCACTTTTCTTCGCATGTGCATGTGTTTCACACAGAAAATCTTTTCAAATCGTTCAAAAAAATGAGGGAAAAAAAAGGCAAAGGAGCATCAATTAATCAACATACCATTCACATCGCTTGCCGACTTCAATCAAAAACGACTGGAACGGAATCATGCCACCACTTTTCAGTTCTGCACCACATACACCTTTCCACTGTAATATGGTGTTTACGAAAAAGAACTGTTATAAAACTAAGTATTCATTCTTCCCTACGATATAACGGATCACACGAATCGAAACAGGAGTCATGTATCGGCTCAAAAGTCGAGACAATGCGCATTGGTTTCAATGCTCAGAAATAAAAGCATTCATAAAGGGTAAGCTGGCATATTTTAGTTCATACTTAACATTATTAGCTATCATACGATCTTTGAAATCAACAGGTTCTTGACTGCAAGATTTATATATTCGAGAGCCCAGAAAATTTTTTTTACGTTTTCCGGCGTTAAGTTTCATATTTTGAGCATGAAAGTGACCGAACAACCGGGGTTTGGTCTGGCAGAACGCGATGTTTCTCGACGTAGCCTTATTCTTTAGACTTGCCACGCTTCGGTAAGAATTTTCATAGTTTTGAATTTCGTTTAGAATTTTTTGATCCTTTCCATTTAAAAAAATTCAGACCGAAAGAATGATTCATAAAAATTACAGTAATGAGGTGATGGAGCAAAGTCTCTCTTTCATAGATCCCTCCTCCTCCACTTTATTAATGGACATATGATCGTCTCTGCGCGTGGTACATCGGCAGCCCAACGCGAGTCATTGTAAAGGCGAGATGTGCATTCATTCACCTCCAACGATAGTTAATGAAGCCGAATGCATGGCGCATCCCTCAGGGATTGTTGATCAACGCCTAGAGCTTTGAGAGCTTTAGACCCAATCGCAGTGGCCATAGTTTTTCTCTTACAACACGGCTTTGGGTCTGATCGCTTTCTCGACCCTAACAAATTGGTTCCAGATACATCTGTAGACCAAAACAAATCATTGTTTGGGCAAAATATGCATTCAATCACCTATAGCGTGCTACGAATGGAGTCGAATACATGACAGATCCTTGAGGAATTGCTTGCTTCGTTCGAAACTAACGCTTTCCTACCATAAATTGGAGTTAATTGGAGTTATGTTTTAGCGCACGTTTTCCAATAACAAATATATTGACTCACGGTTTTGTGAAGAGTGTATTTCTGATAGGTGATAAACGGATTAGTATTCCTGCAACGATAATTCCCATAGTCTGACTATTTTATGAAAAGTCCACTTTGCCAAAATCCCCTCCTCCTTCCAAAAAAACTTTCTTGCGACTTTTTCACATAATCTGAATCCATCTATGCACCTTTTGCACCTTTGCTTTTGCACCTTTTGCACATTCCTATACTAGGGTTAGAAGTGAAAAGATGCAAAGTTGGAATTGAGGCAGCGGAAATCCTTCGCCGACTTGTTTTTCAAGCCAAGTTGATTTTTGTTAATACCACCAGCTACGAAATAGTTTTTTCAAATCTTGATCCTCAATGATTTTCATACTAATTACTATGCTTTCAATAGTAGTACTCTGAAATGTGATGAACAATTCGCAGTCGAGAACTGGTTGCAGTCCTCGGTTCTTCTCCTGGTACGAAATTTTAGATTTCCATGTCTCACAGCCTCTTACTGCCTTACAAGATTATGCACATTCGACTTTGCCTCTACATCATCATGAATTGGTTCTCGGACCACTTATCTAAGGTGTTTCTGCAGCCTTAGAATAATCCTATTCTCAAAACGGTTAGCTATCTTCGTTCTAATGCACAACAATAGGTGCTTGCTCATGATAAAAACACTAACATGGCTAATTTGAGACTCCAGGAAAAACTATATTCGATCGGAGTTCGCCAAATCATTGAGGTGTTAAGCGGACGCCACATCGCCAAACCGTAATCGAACCCATGTAGGAACCCAACCACACTTCCAAGGGTAGCTGCCGCTAGAAAACGAAACGAATGAAGTGTTAGGCCTGCATATTGTTTTGGAATGGGTCGCATAGTCGAACGCGCACAAGATTGTAAATCTTATAAATTTCAGTCTTCGATTTTTGTTATTGCCCTACAAGGTATTTAACTCACCAATCGCTGGACAATACAAAATCTTCGAACTCCCATGTGGGCGGACAACAATCGAAGGACGCTTGTTGCAATTCTGTCCTCTTATGTGGCGGATCAAAAGCGAGTGATGGATTTTCCGCCCATGTTTTAACTCGAAGAGACGAGCCTTCCTTCGTACCGCTGAAGAAGTATGGTCCTTCTGTCACATTCGCTTCAGCACTTTGTTTCAAATATTCGTTAAAGTCCGTTGGCCTGAAAAAGAAAACCGAGACTCGTTTTCTGTGAAACAAGCACACGACTTTTCAACATTTTGCTGGTTTGAATTCCGTTTTTGGAAAGTTAATCATTTACAAAAGGAGTACAGCACTGTACGTGTCCAAGAGGAGGAGAATCTTCATTTCACACAACGGCCAAAATCCTTCCACCACGTCGTCACTTACAACCTTCCGAATTCGTATGCCTTATTACGTCTTTATTAAGAGAATTATGAAACGACTTCTTTTCTTGACATTTGTGATTTCGTCCTTCACAAAGAAGCCTTCGTGATTGCCTGTTTGAGTAGAAATGAATGTAGTACTTAAAAATAATAACCACTGCGTTAGACCACAGTTCTAGATATTCTCTATTTGCTATAACCAAAATTCATTGCTTTAATAATCGTGCAAAGGGTGAAAAAAAGAGATAAAGGCACAACGTCAACAGTGTGTTGGCTCACTTAGTCGACGCTTATCTAGCCGATATCTGAATACGATCATGCAAGAAGCCTGATCTGTAGATAATCAACCGATTGGTCTCTGATTCATGCCCGATCGATGTTTGATAGAAGTCCGGTCGATAACCAGTCGAAACCACGACCAAACCCCAACTGAACCCAAACCACAAGCAACGGCGTACAACTTGTGGTCGTCTTTGGAAGTCATTTCAGTGTGAATAGAAACGGCCACAGGTATGTATGATGCAGTTAATGTTTAATTGCAAATACAATTTTCTAGGCAGTAAAAGTTCACACGCACATGAAAGTTAGAGAATAGCCGTCAGCAATACCGTAGAATGGTCGTTGAACAGTAGCATGGCAGTACGGACTGAAAACGCAAATAAATCTTACGAATAACCATAGAACAATAAAGAAAAGTGGTGGAAAAGATAGAAAAGAAGAAATATTTAGACAAAAGCGATTACTTCGATGTAAGCAGTAAGATCCGGCTGTCCCATAGTGAGAAATCAATTCCTTCTATCCTTTCTGCATTACCAAAATCTTCAAGATCGAATTCTTTGAAAGGCTAAAATTCATTATGTACTGAATTCCAAAATAAATAGTGCAATATTGGTGATAAATAGCGCAATGTGCGTGATTATCTGTAGAAAATATTATAATTGATATAAGCACAAACTAAACACATTAAAGTACAATAATGCTGAGGTTGAATTTGCAAAACTCTGGACCACAAGTGTCTGCGGCAGAGATCGAACCTCGTTATTACCCTTTTCGGGGCCTAGCGTGTTCACCACCATACCATGCATGACCTTCGTTTCGCCTTTCTTTTAGAATTTCCTTTTAAACATGTTAATTTACGGCATTTTACAACGACCATTAGTTAACGCAAGAGGGACGCGTACCGTCTACCACGGAGGAATTTTTCGTAGTAACGTTTCTCGTAGATTACCAAGTGTAAAGAATGGTTTTCAGGTGTTATCCTTACTATTTTGATCTGCTTTCGATTAGCTATCGAATGAATATAGATTCTGAGGTAAAAAAGAAACTCCTAGAAAGCACAAAACTGAAAATAAACTCTACAGTATCCATGCTGGCCCCTCTCTAAACGCATACTGTTCATACTGTGCGTTGTGAGTCAAATATTCAAAAACAAAGCTAAGCTCAGAAAGTTGTATACAGTAGAAAAGAAATTGACATATGTGGTAATGTTTAACGTTTTGTTTTCTGCCTTCTATAATTTTCACGGCAGGTTATAAGTGGTAATATTAATGGAAACCGTAGAAAAATGCTCAATATCAACCAGCTCGAGTGATAATTCACTTTGCAGAAAATTTTTACTCGCAAACCGTACGTGTGAAGCATATATACCTCACACCATGGCCAATCACGTCAATGCTATACTAGATGTCCACATAGGTGATAACAATTTCGTAGTCACCACGTCGAGTGGAGTCGAGTACCATGACGTGCTGCACGAAACCCAACTCTGTTTTTTATGTAGTGCTCCAGTTCCTTTAAAGTGAGCTGACCTCAGGCGGAAGTTTCCCGGGGTACAGGACAATCGGTGGTCGATCGCTAAGCGAAATTATTTGGGTGACGATCCATTCTGCAGCCGTCGGATCGTTGCTAGTTGGGGCGATTAATTACTTGGTAACACAAGGTGTTAAGATTCAAACCCTCTAGTTTTATCCACATGTCGAAAGATTGATTACCAATGCAAAGCTTCAATGGGAGTTGATAATTACATGTAGCGTCCCATATTGTTTTACTGTGTGCTAGCCAAGTACTGAGTGACGATACTTTATTAATGAGGTGCTCCACTCAACTGAATTCTACTTGTCGGAACAACAATGAAAACCAACAGCTCGAGAAAAAAAGCATTTCCTGGAGACACTGAGCTTCAATGATCGTGGCATTGATAAAGGTGATACCGAAAAAAGTTAGCCATAATAAGGATTTGTGACATCTTCTTGTCGATATTAACATCTACGTCAAAACAGAGGCTAAATAAGATGATATCATCTTTTAAAATTATTTTCTGTCATCCCTCAGAACGTCATGCGAACACTGGAATGGGATAACATGGGATGGAAGAACGATAGCGGCCAATTATATTCTCTCCTTTTCAATGATTTTGACATCTTTATTATGACACCAAGCTTGATAATGCCTTTAGAAAGTTTGGTCTTTGACTAAATCTCACAAAAACGGTGTTTGTAAAAAGCGGATTGGTTTCGTGTGCCCCATTCACGCTCAACAGAATGAATATCTCCGAGCGCTCCAGTTACGTCTATTTTAAAGGGTAAAGGATAAAGCCCTTGGAGTTGATCAATCCCTAAGGGATGCACCACGCATTCGACTTCATCGTTGGAGGTGGGTGAATGCATCCCTGGCCTTTACAATAACTCGCAGTGGTCTACAATGTATCGACGCAGTGTTGCTATACTCTCAGACAAGTCTGGTACCAATTTGCCGACCCCGGAGGGATGGAAGGCTCAGTGAGCCGCTGGCGCGGCGATCGATTCCACGCGTGTGTCGCAAGGCGCCTCCGACCAATGCGCTACACGCGCCTTTTCGTATATTTAGGTTAGAAGATCAATATGATGAACAACTTAGCTTCAGAGCTGAGCAAGATGAAGCGAGTGTCTTAGGGAACCCTCAAGAGCATCGAGATTTTAGCAAACGGAACAAAGAATACAGTCTCCGTGCCTACCTTTTCCACTCCACGATTCTTGCTGCCTTAACGTGTGCGTCAGAAACCTCCTCTCTAAGGAAGAAAAAGAAAAAATCACAGTATTATTCAATGTGCAATCGAAAAGGTGATGCTAGGAATAACTCGTGTCAAACAAGTGAAAAAAGGGATCCGAAGCTTCGACCTATATCAATGATCAAAAATCGAAGGTGCCGTTCTATGCGTCAAACTGTCCAAAATAAGTTGAATCAGACACCTAATGCGACAGCCAGTGAGCAGAAACTGGTAGTGAGTGGATTCCACGAGATGTTAAGCGCACAGCAGAAATACCACCGATTCGATGGTCAGAGTACTTCACGAAGACCTTAGAAGAAAGGTATTGTGCACAACGACTCCTTGGAGCGAGCAGAACTCACTGGGCTATTCTTGCACCCAACAAGGAAAAATGGAAGATTTACTGACGCTCGCTCCTGTTACTCGATAATCAACGAGGCGACAGGTGATGCAGGTGATAACGACCTCTTCTAGGTTATCAATAAAGCCAGACACTAATTGTTCTTTTTTTTCCCAAGCTTTTATCACACCTTATTCTAATAATGTTACGTTATTATTATTCCTACAATTATTACTAGCATTATCACTAGCATTATTTTTATTATTATTATTATTATTATTATCATTTTCATTATTGTTACTGCTGCCATCTACTGGTCTTGTTCTATTTGTTCTCCTACTCATACTAACTAATAACATTGTATTCTCTTAGTTTGTTTCATGTTTTGACTACTTATAAATATATAAACTAACCCTAAATGTGTACATCGGTTCAGTGACAGTTCTGTAACCATAGAGAAGATCAACACGTGGAGAATAGTACGGATAATCTGAACGAGATGTGCAACAATAATGATTAATACTAGTACTCCAAACAAAATTGCTTGTTCACTGTAGTCACTTTGCCGATAAATATTCGTATAATCGTCTATCACGAGGTTGGTAGCGCAGTGGTAGTAATACGGTTCATCACGAGCACGGTAATAGTTCGGCCCCACTCTAAACCACCAAGTTTCTCAACCTGCCGGATCGGAAAACTGGTACCAAACCTTTTTGAGAACGGTTCGCTTTTGCAACCCAAATTAGAACGCTCCAACCCGGCCATACCTGACACTAAGAAGAATCGTCTCGACCGCCATTTTACGACATTTATAAGGAAGACGAAATTCTCAATCAAAAGTCAAAACACTTACTTCCTTGATACACGAATGGCTCGCCCTCAATGGTTGTGTAGACCCCAGCATAATCTCAATTTTTCGGAGATTTGCTAGTTAAGCCATTATAGTTCCCTGGAGTCCCAAGGATCGGCCTGGCCAAAGTCTGCTTCAGGTCTTCACCACCACCAGGCAGTCGCAACCCTTGTGGATCGGAAGGAGATTTACCACAGTTTATTTGCAACCATGCGACTAGTTTGATACCAGTACGGTGGCGGATCCTGGTATTGGTTTACTCTTAGCTAGGCTTCCTGATGAAAACTCAGGACTCCTTCACAGCTTGGGAGACTCTGCCAGTGGATGAATCCCCCGCTGTACATCACAGTCCGACAGTCGAAACAGCACACAAAAAATTCGAAAATCTTTCTTGAAGGTGGGCGCGAAGAAACCACTTGGATGCAAGGAGTGAATTGGTATAAAGGAATACCCACAGTAGACCTGAAGACGGTTATTGTAAAATAAATTAAAATATTCTATCGGGTAGGCACTGTCGTGCAATTATATGACAGATCTTAACCTTTTTATTCACTGCCTACTATAATTTTTAACAGCGAGGTAGCATGTGAAATACAACTAAGATGATGCTGAGATATTTGCATAACTCCCGCAAACGGAGGACCCGCATGGTGTGGTGGTTAACTCATTCCTCCCCGGAAAGGACAATAGCGCGTTCGTTCCCCATCGCAGACACCTGCGGTGCGGAATTTTCCAAATACCTCAGCATTATCTTAATTTCAAGATGCTTTTATTTTTATGAAAGTCATTACTTAATAAAAATGGGAAGAATTTGTTGCTCACGGTTTTGTATGCGCTGTGGTTCTGTTTCTCCTTCAACCACTTTTGATACGGTTACGTACACGATTTGCTCCAGCGTGTGAAAACGTAACGAATTATCATTGCAGGCTTTTCCCCAGTCAATATTGCGTATCTCAGTTGATGTGATGTTGAATTTTCTCATAAAACAAAGCCAAACACTAAAAACAAAGACATCAATAATCAATAACGAAAAGCAGGCCGATGATAAACCTTGACTAAAACTTGAAGACCAGAACATCTGAAACAAAACAAACTCTTAAAACCGGGCATTACATAACTACTCAGAGCGTAAGTGTATGTGTATGTGTATGTGTGTGTGTGTATGGAAGAGAGGAAGAGAGAACGACAGAGAAAGGAGACGAAGATGAGAGAGACAGAACGGGAAAGAGATGGGGGAAAGGAGGTAGAGCGGGAGAGGGACAAAAGGGAGGATGCATCTCTTACAGTTGTTTTCTCTCGCATTTGTTTACAATTCGGTCTGCCGAACAGTTAGTGACAATTTTGACGCTGTTTAAATGGAAACTTATCAATACTGAGTGTTTACATTTAGAAATCGATGATGAACACTTAAAAAGAAATCATTAGTGTGAATTTCCAGGACCAACATTTTATTAACCTCCTTATTATCCAGGAAGGTAATTTTTTGCCCTCGAGTAGATATCAGTTCGTTAATAATGAGGTTTATTCAATAGAGTGCTGATTGACATTTCGGCGACGTTGCCTTCTTCAGAGCCCGAAACGGTAAAATCGACTCCAATCTACTCTGCTAAAAGCACTTCCACAACCTCAACGGAGAAAACTCGTTGGTAAGTTCTATTTACATAATAAATAGCTTTTTTAAGTGATCATAGTTTGTTCTTCATAGGCCTTCCAGTTATCGTAGGAGACCAATTGCATGGAGTACGAGGAATTTGTCCGGGTGAAGTCAAAAAAATGCTTAAGCTATAGGGCGTGATCACGGGTGATTACGAGGCACACCACCATGCACTTCATTTTCACATTTCTGGAGAATCGTCTAAAACTCTTAAAGAAATAGAATTTAGAGGCAGAGTTTGAATTTAGTGTCTTTTTCTCCATTGAACGAGAAATGAAATCTTGCACGAAGGAGACAACGGTCTGATCCCGTGTGGAATTTTTAGACAACAGCGACATCGGTTAGGCAAAACCTTCGATATACTATGATGTGGTTTCGTTCGTTGCGGTACTCTCCACTGGGAAACTCCCATGTCGAGCGTTCACGCTGGGGCTTCTAGAATTCCGACCTGCTACGATTGGTCTTGGTCGTCTTGATAAACTTAGACAGCCGCTCACTCTGCTTGTTCCATTCAAATCGGTGGGTCGCAATGTGACGTTTTAGACGTTTCCTAGGTCTAATCTTAGCGTTAAAATCTCCAGCGATGACTTTAAACAGTGAATGGTCTTGTCTCTAAAAATTCTCTAAATCCATACAGAACTCTTCGACTTTGTCTTCTTCACAGTTTGATGTTGGTGGGTGGAAGACGAAGATTGTCAAGGCCGGTATTGATCTAGAACTTTTCAATCGTAGATGTCCGGCTTGCGTTGTTAGCCGTTCGAATGAATCGAAGTCAATGGTCGAACTCGTCTTGACGAGAATGCTGACGCGGCCGACTGCTCCACCGTCGCATGTTCCGAGGAACAATTCTTCTTCAATGTCATAGTCGGCGTCGAATGGGTGTTGTCTTCTCGTCTCGGCCAGTTCGATGACGTCGTACTTTATCCTTTATACCTACATAACTGTCTTCTATGGAGGACTCAGATTCAAGTGTGTCTTCATTGTAGGTACAGATCATCACCATCAGATCAAATAGGTACAAGCACCTTAACCTTCTGCGATTTAGGCAGCTTAGAGAGGCTCTAAGATTATAGCAGCCTTTCCGTAATCGTCTTACTCAACGCTACTGTATAGTAGGCTCCTTTGGCCAGCGTTAAACGAATCATGTTGTTAACAACCTGACGTCCGCTCAAGATCAAAACCTTACCTTATTAGTGCCAATGCTTACTGATAGCATAAAATAACTCCTGTTTCTGTTTGGTTATTTCGTCTCTTTTCTTCTTCGCTATTTGAACTATGATTAACACCATACCATTAATTTTACGTGAACCAGTACCCTTGCGCCTTACTAATAATACTAATAACAAGTGATTAAATTACCTTTGAAAACATGAAAACTCACACATCGCAATGATGCGGTGGGAAGATGTGAATGCGAAGGTCGGAACGTAGCGGATCATAAAGCGAAGCAAACGCTGGCTTGTTAAGAAGATATCCTCTTAACAAAACTGATTTTTTTCTTCTCGAGAAAAAGCCGATGGTATTGCTGAGGTAATATAATCCATGGAAAAAATTTATCTTGCGCAGATCTCGGTTTTAGCGAATGAAGGAACAGGGTAGGTCACAAGAATTGAATGAGCAAGAATAGTGGTGAGATGATCCCGTTGGACACCAGATAAATACTATCGTTGTAACTTTGATCGTTCGTCGTTTTCTCTTTCTCCAAAGGGTGCGTATAGCTAAGCGCTTAGAGGCTAATAGTGCTCCCATAATCGGAAACTGGCACCAGACCATGTGTGGAAGGACAAAAAACACTGATTTTGCACTTCACTACGCTAAAGCAGGTCATTCTGCGCGTCAGATATGCATTCAGTTATCTCTACTAAACATGGAGTTGAATGCTTGGGCTATTCCTGAAAGACTAATCAACACCAAACGCTTTATCCTTTATCCCTAATCAACTATGCTAAGGTTTTACTGATGACCACTAAAATCTTGAAGTATGATCTCTGTGATGCTGAGATATTTGCAAAACTCCGGACCGCAGGTCTATGCGGTGGGGAACGAACGCTCTACTTGTCTTCTCCGGGTAGTAACGCGTTCACCACCACACCATACAAGTCTTTCGTTTCACCTGTCTCTTAGCTAGCTCTATCGATCGATGCCATCAGCATATGATCTCTGTTATAAATCTTCCTGCAAAAGCAGAAAAAAGCAAATATTACGTTTTTACATGACACATAAACAGTATGATTCACTTCGATGCCAGATCGTTTACGTTGCTGCTGGTGTGAAGAGCGAAGCCGAGTCGATAATAACCATAATAAACATGGCTATTGATTGGGTGTCGTTAGCGTTCTCAGTAAACGTTCTCTTGGAGTTCGGCAGTGAACGTGAAATCGTGAGCCCAAAGGGGTTGTCAAAGTTCGTTTCCCTTTATCGACTGTTATTATTGATAAGATGACAATTCTAATATTTGTGTGCGATTGTAGCCGACAATATTCTCTAACACCACACACATAGCCTGTGCGTAGAACAGCACTACTTAGCAACACCGTTATGCTCAGTCGTTGTGCAAAGCACATTATTTGAATAGCCGCCATGCCCCCCGTACTTCATAATCCTATATATCGCGCCGTTGGGCTCTATTTGCAGACCGAAAAGACTGTTATCACACTCAGTATGGTCAGTAATCACATTTTATCATTCTTGCTGTTGCCATTCGATCACATCAACGTCCCTGGGCTTTTCAATTCTGTAGATGAATTTCGGACCCAGTATCCAGTCAGACAATGAACATTTCGAAGCTGGCAATTGTTAATTAACTACCACTCAGTACTGAGGGCGCGTGTGGTGCAACAGTTGAAAGTGCCACTGCGACACACACGTGAAATCGATGCTCGCGCCCATGGCCCGCCAAGCCTTTCATCCCTCCGAGATCGGCAAATTGGTACCTGACTTGTCTGGGAGGATAGCAGCAGTGGCTCGATACATCGGTAGACCACCGCAAGTCATTGTAAAGGCCAAATATGCATTCATTCACCTCCAAACGATGTTTAGTGAAGTTGAATGCATGGTGTATCCCTCAGGGATTGATCAACGCCGAGAGCTTCATTCTTTATCCTTTTGCTCAGCGCTGCGAAGACCGATCAACATAACCCTACCACGCTTATAAACCAATATCAGCCAGAGATAGCATCCATTGGTATCACTTTTTCATTCATTCACTCAAGCAGCGGAGAACACGGTTTACACTTTGTGGTCATTATCAAACCTACAGAG